CCCTGAAAGGACTTGTCCCTGTTCAGCACTCAGAATTTTTCTTATACGGAATTCCTTGTAGGTTGGGTATTTGGTTTCTGCTTGGTTGCTTCTGCTTTTGGACAGGTCATCACCTAACGAGGCTCCCCATTCCCTTCCCCTACCTCGAGCTGTGGTCTGCTTCTCTTAACCTCTACCCATTGCTCTGAGGTCTGGGTCTGAAAGCACACAGAGTAGATCCGCTACCATGTGATAGCTGGCCTTTCCCTATGAACATGACTGTTTCCTGGAAACCGTCTCCCAGCTGAACACCTGCAGCCTTCTAGGGGACTCGAGTGGTGTCACGTGCCCCCGCCTCCTGACCTGCCATGCTTGTCACCCTCTCCCGGGAAGCAGAGCACACAGCTGTGTTCTGCCCTTCCTGGGGCCTGAGCCCCGCCGCCGGTCAGCGCGCCCGCGGCTGCGGCATCTGACCGCCACCTCCCTCCTTGTGCTGTTCGCGTCTAAGTTTTACACGGAGTGTCCTCTCCATAGCTGTCCTTTTGGGATCTTTCTGTTGGCTTCTCTCTCAGCCCTGCTGCCTTCACTTCTTACTTGGAAGATTGGGAATAGCTTTCCATTCCGGCGAGATGCCCCATTGTCTGAATCTCCCACCTCCTTTTCGGTTCTGCCGCACGACGCCTGGTTAAGACACTGGCTGGAGCCGTGGCCCACATCGTGGGCTTTCACCTAGGCGCGGGCGAGCCGCCTGAGGTCTGTCTCCATGGGCTGGCTTCTGAAAAGACAAAGGAGAGTTCTCTCCCTTGGAATGTTTGGGAATCCCCCTTCCCCCTCTCAGCCAGTCTTTTGTATCTCCCTCTGTCTGGGGTCCTTTCACATTTCTTTGTGGAGAGGCCTCCTCCCGCTCCCCATGCGGGTTAGTACTTTTGCTGCCCCAGGGCTCTCATTCCTTGTGTTGCTGTATTTTGTTTCCCCCTTTGGGTGTCCATACCTCTCGTGTAGGGGCCCAGAGCCTGTCCGCCCATTTTGTTCCTCTACCCGAGCGCGCTGTACCCCCAGGCAGAGGAGTCTGATGGACCTGCCTTCGGCTTTGTTGTTTCGCTGCTGGGGTAGAGAAAACCTGGCTTGTGTTCATAGCCTCCCGTCCACAGCTGGGATCCCCAGACAGGTGGATGGCCCGAGAGCTCCCTGAAATACAGATGCATTTTCTGGGAAAAGGACTTCTGTCCCACAAGTGTTGTGACCCACCGTTTGGTTCGCTCACAGGGGACCAGCTCCTGAAATAAGCACCCGGACCTTGGCAGGTGGCTCACGGGCATCGGCATCACCTGCGCCTGCCATCCTGAGCTCACACGGTTGTGAGCATACACTGGGTCATTTTAGGACATCAGCTTTGTTGTATACCACAGACCATATTTATAATTTGCGTTTTTAAAAAATTGGGCTTTATGTTGGAGGTACATGGGAATGTCTTACTGAGAATTTAATTCCTAGGAGTTGGGAGTTGCGTTTCATTTCTCTATGTCCATCGAATCTTTTTTTAGGTGTGATTTTGATGGCTTGATAGGCCTACCTGTTTGGGGAGCATACCAGTGCATACCTTTTACTTCTGAAAGCCCTGAGGTGGGCCACTGAGTGAGAGTACCTGTTGAGATTGGGTTTTTGTTAGCTGGACCAATCTCAGATAACCAGCTGCCCAAGGCTGTTTTTCTGTCCAGAACAGTTTGGTCAAAGCTGGTAACAGAGTTATCTTGGCAAATGGTTACTGTTTCAGGTTCCTAGAAGGAATAAAGAAGCCATAAAGGGTTCTTGCCTCTTGGGGCTGTGATAGTGCATTCCTTTCTTGAAGCCTGATACATTTTGGCGGTAGTCAAGCCCTGGCTGGGATGATTGGAGAAAACCCCCTAGTTCTACTGCCTGGGTTTTGAGAATGGAGGGTGGTGGTCAGGGCTTCTGTAGGGAGGGCTGCTCGCTGGCCTAGCCTATCTTGGTCCTGTCTGGCTCTGGCGTGCTGATGTCCAACCTCTTTCTGGCCTGCCTGTGTATCACTGTGCATTCCTTTGCCTAGAGGCTCATTTTGTAGCTTCCTGTTATTTTTCCGTCTCTTTTCTCCCAGTTAGAGGTAGAACCAGTTTGTCTATCTTGGGTGCCTTTCAGGATTCCCCAGGGCCCAGTGCCTGGAAGGAGCATGGGAGGTTCTGCTGGGACCTGCTGGGCTACGTGTGCTGTCTCTGACTGCCACACTTCTCAGAGCCCTGACCCTTGTGACACAGCTAGTTCCCAGACCTACAGCTGAGGGCTGCCTCAGCCTAGCTTGGCTACATTATAGGTACTAAACGTTTGTGAACCATCCGAGGATTAGTGTGTACTGTTTTGAATCTGGTGCATGTTTTCCTATGGAAACCAGAGTCCAAGCCAGTGGCTTTTGGAATGTGGCTAGTTCAGTTGAGTTCATCACCTAGTGATGGATGTGATTTATGCCACCAGGAGGCATTGAAGGCTATAACCTGGGCAAGAGATTCATCATTCAGTTGCTGGTGTCTGAAAGGGTGCAGATAATCTGGCTTGAACTTTTTGGGGACCTGTGACTCAGTCTTTGTGTGACTAGTTGGTGGACCACAGCTTTGGTTGAAAAGCTAGTAATAACAGCACTTCATTGTCCCCTGGAGGGAGAGTACCTACCAACCTACATTCTTTGTGTACTGTGTGTTACATGCCTGCAGAATTACTGTGCCTTCTCATTGGGCTCACAGATGGAAGCAAAGTGCCGCATGACCCCTGAGGTTCTCAATGTATTTTGTAGGTTGTTCTGGGATTGCCTCCTCAGTCCTGGCTATGTGTTTCCTGTGTTTGCCGAGTCGGCCTCCTGCACCTTCATGCATCTTTGTGTGGACTTGTTTTTTAGCTGATTGGTTGGTAGAGGTGACCTTCCAAAGTGAAGGTTACTGTAGCCCTGCTTTAAGAAACATAGGTATTCTTATTTTTCCTTTTTGATATATCATTTTTATATTTAACAGCCACATAATCTTTTCAGATTATCTTTTCTCTTTTAGTAATGTGAATTACATTTAATAAATATATTTATGCATATCCTATTTTGCCTCTTGGATTGCTGTATATCCTTAAAATGTATTTCTAGAAGTGGATTACTTTTTGGAGAGGGACTTTTTGCCCCCAGTTTTTGAAATACGTTACTAAGAAGTCCTTACCAGTCACACTTAGCCTTACAAATGCATCTTTAACTACAAATGTGTTACTTTTTTTTTTTAAATTTCTTTAACGTTTATTCATTTTTGAGACAGAGCATGTGTGGAGAAGGGGCAGAGAGAGGGAGACACAGAATCGGAAGCAGGCTCTAGGCTCTGAGCTGACAGCACAGAGCCTGATGCGGGGGTTGAACTCATAAACTGCGAGATCATGACCTGAGCTGAAGTCGGATGTGTAACCGACTGAGCGACCCAGGCGGCCCTACAAACTGCCACTTTTTCCCCATTGGCTGATTTAACTTTTAAAATACGGTGCCTTCCTTACTATTTCAGGAATTTATGTTAATACATTTGAGAAAGATTTTACTCTTGACCTACAAATCTGTTATCTGTGTTAAGAGAAAGTATTTCTGAACACAGTACCAAAGCTCAATTTACCTTTTTTACAATTTTTAAATGTTTGGCATTTGTCAGAATTCTGTTTCAAGTAACATTAAAACATTTAATGTTAATTAAAAAAATAAAATAAAATATGGTGCCTTCCTTCTGTAGCCTGCATTTCTTTGGTCCTGGGTGATGATGTACTTTTCTTGCGTTTTCCCCTAATCTCATTTCTGTGCATGTGACTCCTACCTCAGCGCTTTTTTCATTACCACAGCAGAAGCAATGTTGTTTTGTGCACCTGGTTTTGAGTGCACACATGTTCACTGTGTGATACCAAAGTGGATTATGTAGTTTTCTTCATTAGTAAACTTGTTTATGTGCAAATATGCACAAAGTTAGATTTATAAAAGAGCCCTTTTTCTATAACATTAAGAATCATTGTTTTTTGTAATAAGGATACGAATCTTATTTTCTTTATAGATTAAAAAAGTTTTTCATTCTGTATTTTTTAATTTTTTTTTTTTTTTTTTTTTTTGAGAGAGCTTTTTTTTTTTTTTTTTTTTTTTTTTTTTTTTTTTGATTTTGGCTCAGGGCATGATCTCATGGCTCGTGAGTTTGAGCCCTGTGCGGGGCTCTGTGCTGACAGTTCAGAGGCTGGAGCCTGCTTTGGATTNTTTTTTTTTTTTTTTTTTTTTTTTTTGAGAGAGAGCACAGTGGGGTGCAGAGAGAGAGAGACAGACACACAGTCTGAAGGAGGCTCCAGGCTCTGAGCTGTCCGCACAGAGCCCGATGCGGGGCCCAAACCCACAAACAGTGAGATCATGACCTGAGCCAAAGTCGGATGCTTAACTGACTGAGCCACCCAGGCGCCCCATTCTGTATTTCCTTCTATAATTAAATCCTGTGATTTCTTTTATTACTTCATGGAAAAAATTTTAGGTTATAAAGATTAAAACGCCTGATGCTGTTTAAAAATAGTTTGAGAGGAGAGGTGCCTGAGTGGCTTAGTGAGTTGAGCATCTGATTTTGGCTCAGGGCATGATCTCATGGCTCGTGAGTTTGAGCCCTGTGCGGGGCTCTGTGCTGACAGTTCAGAGGCTGGAGCCTGCTTTGGATTCTGTGTCTCCCTCCCTCTCTGCCCCTCCCCTGCTTGTGTGCTTGCTTGCTCTCTGTCAAAAATAAATAAAGATAAAATCGTGTGAGAGGATAAAAGCAAACCAGATAAATCAGTCTCCACCCCGCCCTGTGACTTAGCCTGACGTAGATGGTCACACAGTGTCCTGCCTGGACCTGGTGGTGCCATACGGTCTGCGGGCCCTGCGGCGGGGTGAGGGGCCGAGCCGCCATCCAGCTCCGTGCCCGGGCTGGCCCTTGGCTGTGGGTAGGGGCGAGAGGGAGGCCACCATCTCATCATGCTGCTGTGTCTTTTAGCTCTAGCCGGCCCTGTCCTAGGGCTGAAGGAATGCACCAGGGGCTCGGCGGTGTGGTGCCAGAACGTGCGGACGGCGGCCGAGTGTGGGGCTGTGAAGCACTGCCTGCAGACCGTCTGGAACAAGCCGACGGTGGTGAGTGCCGTGGCCGCCTTTCTCCATCTCTGCATGTGCGCGGCCGCCCTCTTCAGCACAGTGGAGGCGACTCTCAGGGAGGTTTAGGTTCTGCTCCCCCAGGTCACTCAGTCGGCTAGTGGTGGCGAGAAGGATGTGTGTCCCGAGCCGCCTTCTGGGCCTCTGCGTGCGCCCCATGCGGCCGCTGGCGACGAGGCGCCGGCCGGCTTGGCTTCCGGGCCCTGCGCGGCCGCCCCGGACACAGCTCCATCCGTGGTCACCCAGATAAGTCAGTGCTGAGCTTCTGAAATCCTTCCCCTGTTTTTGGTATTTTCTCTCTCTCTGCCTCTCTCAGACAGGCAGATCACAGATTGAGACCCTGGAGCCTAGTAGGTTTTTATTTTTAGCCATAGCCAAACTGGAAAAGAATCTGCTGGGGGTGTGTGTGTGTGTGTGTGTGTGTGTGTGTGTGTGTGTGTGTGTGTCTGTGTGTGTGTGAGAGAGAGAGAGAGAGGGAGAGGGAGACAATTAAGTTTATTTTTATCCTGCTTAAATTAAAAAAGTTTCCCCTAGCTTTTTGAGATAATTGACATACAACATTGTGTAAGTATAAGGGGCACAATGTGCTGATTAGATACATTTATATTGCAACATGATTGCCACCACAGCATTAGCTAACATGCTTATCCTTGAGTCTGTGGGTCATTTCAAAAATCCATTTTGTATATGTATATATGCAGTATACTGTTATCCTTAGGAGAGTTCAAGTAAGTACTTCTGTGTTTAAAGGAAGAGTGGACATCAGGCTCATAAACAAGATGGGGTGTTGTTTCTGCTAGCTTTGCTGTGGATAAGTTATTTCTGCATTTCAACTTCTTCATACTTGAAAGTGTTGCATTTCACTTGTGCATTCAATAAGGTAGACATTAGTCATGTATGATGATTTAGGTTTAAATTAAAATTTCAGGGGTGCCTGGGTGGCTCGGTCAGTTGAGTGTCTGACTTTAGCTCAGGGCATGATCTTGTGTTTTGTGAGTTCGAGTCCTGCATTGGGCTCGCTGCTGTCAGCTGTCAATGGAGCCTGCTTTAGATCCTCTGTCTCCCTCTTTCTCTGCCCCTCCCTTGCTCACATGTGAGCTCTCTTTCTCTCTCAAAAACAAATAAAACATTTAAAAATAATTAATTACAAATGCAGTGTTTCATCTGCGCTAGCCACTTTTCTGGTGCTTGGTAGTCACATGGGGTTAGCTTCTGTATTGGATCCTGAAAATTGTAGAGTATTTCCATTATCATAGTAATTTCTTCAACAAATAGATTTTTTGCTCCCGTTTTTTTTTTTTTTTTTTTTAAATATGGAATGCTTCATGAATTTGCGTGTCATCTTGTGCAGGGGCCGTGCTAATCTTTGCATCATTCCAGTTTTAGTATGTGTGCTGCTGGAGCGAGCACAGTGCCACGGGGTTTCCATCTAACTGGTGTTAAGTATAGCGTCTGACTGTGGGGCCCCTCGCACAGGGCATGCTCTGAGATGCCAGAGTGCAGGTGCAATCTTGGTGGGACACGAGCCCCCTCGGAGACGCCTGGGCTTTGCTGGCCACACAGTGTGCCTGAGGCACCTCCTGCGGTGCAGGCCACGTTGGACTGCTTGGAGTTCCATGTTTAAAACTCGTTATCAATGGCCTCTAGTGCTGCTTCATTAAGAGAAGTACAATTAAAAACACTGTTCTTCGAGAAATAGTTTTTTTAAATTATTTTTTAAATATAAGTTGGTCAAGTTGGTTTCCATATGACACCCAGTGCTCATCCCAACAAGTGCCCTCCTCCATGCCCATCACCCTTTAGAAACAGTTTCTAAATTCACAGGAACACTGTCCTCTGTGGCCAAAATTACTTTTTGATTTGGTTTCTGTTTTACTTCTCTTGTTTTTAATACGGCTCCCTCTTTTCAAATCCAGTGTGTCAAGGAAGGACTTTAGCTTCTTTCTCTTTTGCTAGGACCGTCTCCTGGGTGCCTTAGTCTCTCTTGGATGCATGCACGGGATTAGCCTTACGTCCAGAGGTTCAAACTGATTCCTTTAAAATATGGCTAAGATCCCAGGTGTTTCTTCATCTCACCCAGATATGTTAGTTCCTTCCCTCTTCCTGGGTTGAAAATCAGTTGGCTTCAATTGAGAAGGAAGCTCCTCACAGCCTTTGAGAACCAACTAGAAGTTCTGTGTCCTGGGCCAGGTGAGGCCCTAGGTGCCCAGGCTTATCAGAAGACCAGTGTGATGCTTCTAAGGTTTGGGCTGGCAATGTGGCTTCCACTTGAGTGTAGCAGCGCCTGGGAGGTGGAAGGTAGATCGAGCGCCAGGATCGAGCCGGCGTCTGGCTGGGCTACTCTGCTCCACCCCCTTTTACTCTGTGTAAATGATATTGACCCCAGGTGACTGGTTTTGTCCGATTGCTGCTGCTGCCATTTTCACCTTCCCGAGCCTCAGTTTCCTTCCAGAGCTGTTGTGAGCAATAATAATGCGATTTGGCCGGTGCCAGGTGTGCTGAGTAAGGTACTGAGGGGTGGAGGGTACAGGAAAAGGGTGTTTCTCCTGTAGAAGCACGGAGTATTCTGGTCAGTCCCGCCTGATCCTTGACCTGGGGCGTCCCTATGCTTCTCATCTAGGCTGGGGACCCGGATGTGCCAGTATGTCAGATGTCCCTGGTTAGATCTAATAGGTCGGAGGCCCAGGGGACTTTCCAGCTGTGTCGGGTGTGAGTTACAGCCTACAAATACGGCTCTCTCCCTTGTGTTCTTTTCTCCTAGAAATCCCTTCCCTGCGATATATGCAAAGATGTCATCACTGCAGCTGGGGACATGCTGAAAAACAATGCCACCGAGGTGAGCTGCCATGAGTATGTGTGAGCAGTGTGAGCAGTGGCCGTGTGCACCCACTTCCTAAAAGAGCTGTGTGGTTTTGGGGGTCTAACAAGGAGTGGTCAAAGCCCGGATGGGAAGTAGTTTAGGTCTTGTGAGCCACATAACTTTTGTAACATAGTTATGTTTTTTTCTTTTTCCCCCAACCCTCATCCCTTAAAAATGTGAAAAAACCATCCTTAGCTACAGGCTATATGGAAACAGACTGTGGGCTCTAGCTTGCTGACCCCGGCGGCCTAGGTGTTCAATGCCCAGGCTTGATGGGAACTTTTGTATTGCTGGTCGCTACCTGTAGGTCTGTTTTGGCCATCTCTGGTTAGACGTCCCTGTGCTCAGGAGACTGCAGGTCAAGGCGGTTGTATTTTGAGGGGTGTTTGCTCTTGGCCTGTTTGTCTGATGGAGCTACGGCTGCCCGCTGGCCCTCTCCCAAGGCTCTTCCCCTTCCCTGAAGCTGCCGTTTCCTGTGGGTGGGGTGTGGGGAGGGCAGCTGTGCTTGAAGCCATCTGCAGAGCAGATGCACATCCTGACCTGGACCCTGTCTGTTTCCCTTTAGCAAGAGATCCTCGTGTATTTGGAGAAGACCTGTGACTGGCTGCCTAACCCGAACTTGTCTGCCTCGTGCAAGGAGATGGTCGACACCTACCTCCCAGTCATCCTGGACATGATTAAAGGACAGATGGTACATGGTGGAGAGTAGAGTCGTGAGGGCACTTCCGGGGCCTGGGGAGGTGCCAGGCCAGAATAGAGTGGTTAGAGTGGAAAGTCTTTTCATGGATTTGCCCCTAGCTTGTTCCTACTGTTCTGACTTCCAAGAGGGCTTGGGCCCAGTGGAACACTCTGCTTGTAACTTTCAAGGGTTGGGATGGGTGCAGGAAATGGGAACTTGCAGAGTACAGAAGGAATTGTAAACTGGTCACACTGATGTGTGCCCATTGGTAACTTGTGTCAGATCTTCAGCTCTCACTTTGAGTATGCAATTCATTTCATTTCTGTGATTTTTATCCCAAAGAGTAATTCAGGGAATGTCCTAGTGGGCTCTGCTTTCATTCAAATAAGCATCCACTCTGCATACACCATGTGCTTCCTGTTGGATTTTCAGCAGCAAACAAGGAGCCGGGTCTGTGGAATTTGGAAAGACCCTAAGAAAGAAGAGGTGCTCAAAAAATAGGGCCAGAGGGGTGGAAGGGTCCTGAGACTGGACCAAGGTTTCTGTGAGGATGGCAGGGGTCACACGGTACAAGGCCTTTTAGGCTCTATTTAAGGACTGCAAGTGCAGTAGGAAGCCCTTGGGAAGTTCAAGGAGAGGCAGAGGTGTGACACGGTCATAGGTGCCTCTTTAAAGGGTTTGGTCTGGGTCCCACCGGTTGGGAGTTGGAAGCAGGGAGGCTGGCGGGACAGTCTGGTGTGAGAGGTCAGAGAAGGTGGACAGAGGTGCATTCTGTCTCAGAGGAGAAAGGGACTGGACCTGCTGAGAGGAGGGACGGGGAGGAGTGAGGCATGCCCTCCGGGTTGCTGGCTGGAGCTGCTGGGGGGGCCGGGGGGCCATTTGCTAATGTGGGGATGGGGAGGGGAGCAGTGGTTTGACACACCTGTGAGTGGGGTGTGTGGGTGTGAACCAGTTCCCTAGGTGAGGATAGGACTCCGGCACCAGGTGGCAGTTTTGTCTTCCTCTGGGGAGACATTTCCAGCTGACTGATGGCTTTCCTCACAGAGCCACCCTGGGGAAGTGTGCTCCGCCCTCAACCTCTGCGAGTCCCTTCAAAAGCATCTGGCAGAACTGAATCACCAGAAACAGCTGGAGGCCAATAAGATCCCGGAACTGGATGCGGCTGAGGTGGTGGCTCCCTTCATGGCCAACATCCCTCTCCTCCTCTACCCTCAGGACGGCCCCCGCAGCGAGCCCCAGCCCCAGGTGAGACAGGAGGCCCTGTCTAAGGGGCCCGCCCTGCTGACTGGGAGAGGAGCCCTGAGAGGCGGGACGTGTGTGTTCTCTAGCTGGGGACATACTCCTTCATTTGATCTGCAGCAAGACAGCCACCTTTCAAACGGTTGTGTCATGGAGGTTCTGAGGGATTGGGGATATTTAAAGTATGCCAAGCCTTCCTCTCTGTTCCAATGAAATTTGATTGAAATCAATGTGCAATTGATTCTAAGCCTGTTGATAATTTCAGAGCCTGTAGAAACACAGAGCTGGAGTGCCAGGCTGGCTCAGTTGGGTGGAGCGTACTGCTCTTGATCTCGGGGTTTGTGAGTTCGAGTCCCACATTGGTTGTAGACATTACTTAAAAAAAAAAAAAAGAACTTTTAAAAACCCACAACTGTTCAGGAAGTCACTGCCTGGTGCTGTGGTTGTGAACACATAGGACAGTTCCTTGGGAATTTGAATCCTCTTACTTATCATAGTAGCATGCAGTGTTTGCAGCCTGACACCCACTCCCAACTGCCCATCAACCCCTGTCTCTGTAGGCTGGTGGGGACGTTTGCCAGGACTGTATCCAGATGGTGACTGACATCCAGAATGCTGTCAGGAACAACGCCACCTTTGTGGAGGCCTTGGTGAACCATGCCAAGGAGCAGTGCGACCTCCTGGGGCCTGGCATGTCTGACATGGTGAGCCTTATCTCCTCATGCATGGGAGGATGTTCTGGGCTCTGGAGATAGGAGTGGGGGAGCCAAGAAAAAGTCCATTCTTGACTTACCATTTTAAGTTCCAGCCCCGCGGCTTTGAGGAAGAGATTGTTTAGACAATTCTTGTTTTCCTTTTTCCCAGAAAAGCCTCTGGAATAGTTGGTAGGTACTTAAGTACTTTGTTGGTTAGTTAAATTTGTGTACCTAACAAAACACTTGGAATGAGACAGCATAAGGAGACCACTTTCGTGAAGAATTTTTTCTCCTCCCCGTCACCGTATGTGTAAGGAACAACATTAGAATCCTTTATGACCCTGGTTTTAGAAGCCTGGCTGTGGTGTATTCCGAGCTGGAGGTGTGCCTTCCCCACAGCCAATGGCTTGTTGTCCCTGGGAAGCCATGCAGCTGGCTTGCAGGAAATCCACCTGGGATGCCTTCCTTAGCTTGCTGCATGTTAGTCCGGCAGGCTGAGAAACTCAATTTAGATTCTTAAAGGGTTTCATTTCTTGGACCCTGTTCACATTAACCACATTCCTATGACCTCGACAAGTAAAGCCAAAATGCTAGTTTTGTATCCAGCAACTGAAAAGCCCTTAGGGAAGCTGGTTGTAATAACTCCCTGGGTCTAGGATCTAGAGCAGCCTTCCTGGGTAGGAATGACTGGTTCTGGGAGCTCTGGGTTCTTTTCTGTTGGGAGTCTTTTGGCCTCATTGAAGTATCTTTGCATATCACAGTCTTACTTGGCTTCTCCAGTCCAACCCTGTGTGAGGGGCTGCCCTGTTTCCCTTGGTTTTCTCACTGTGGAGGCACCCCAGTGTGACCAGAGCTATTCTAGGAAGGTCTACAGGAAATAACTAGATGTGTATGAAAGTAGGTGTGCTGAAAATCGTTATAACTTAATTCTCCTGGGTTTTACCTTTAGAATCTTGCTGGGGAATGTGTGAATGGTTTGAAAAGTCATTTTACGTTCGTAGTGGCGTGTCTGGTAGCCACGTTCAGAATTGCACCTGAGTACTTGCTCTGAGACCTTGGGGCAATTTGGGCTGTAGAAGGAGATCGGAGGACCTTTTCTCTAAGGGCCTTTGGGACACATTTTCAAAACCCCTCTTGCACACCTTTTCCCATAACATACAAGGTAAGCAAACAGCCATTTTTATATCAGACGTGTGTAAGACGGCTCTACTCTTGGAAACTTGCTTCATAGTTACCTGTTGACCTTGTTGGAAATGCTGGGGTTTTGCTGTGTTATTGCCGCAGGTAGCGTCACTGACCACCTGTTTGTCTCTCCCTAGTGCAAGAACTACATCAACCAGTATTCTGACATTGCTGTCCAGATGATGATGCACATGGTAGGTGGCAGGGGAGGCCCCCTGTGAGCATTCTTTGTCTCTAACTCTGTGATTCCCAGGATTTTGAAAATTACATGGTTTAGTTTCCCTTTTCCCCTTCAGATAATGAATTGGGTCAAAACGAACCTTCTTCAACCAGCAGATTCTCTACCTGCAACCCAGTACTCCCTCCCCTTTACCTTCTGCAGCCAGGGAAAAGGCTGAGGCACCTCAGCCCCCGGGACTGCCCTGGTGGCTTCCTGGTGATTTGTTTGCCTGTTCGTACGTGAGCTGGCCATCAGATTTCTGGTATCTGCCTTTCACCCTGGGGCCGGTGGGAAGAGTCTGCTCCCGTAGCTACGAGGCAGCTGGAGTTGGCGGGTGGGGGAATCCCGCCCCCCCACAGCTGGTCCTGCACTCTGCAGCAGTGTTAGCTGTGGCTGCTGCCTCACCTCCTAACTCCTGCACCTGCTTCTGATGCTTCTGGGCGGTTTGGGCATCCCTCCATTACTAGAGGTAGAGAATCCTGAGCGTGCACGGGAGCTAGCTAGCTCCATGCAGAGAACTGTTGTCCGAATCAGGGTGGTGGTATTCTTAAATTGGCAGCATGCCCTGGCTTCCTGAGAGCTAAGCTGATGGAGTTGAGGGGATGGGTTGCACTTTCTCTCCATCCTACTGACTTTGTGTGGAGATTGACCCGTGGTCCTTGAGTTTGTTCTCCAACCAGGGGTCAGCAAACTGTGGCCCACCATGTGTTTTTGTAAAGTTCTGCCGGACACAGTGATGCGCATCCCATTTTGTGCGGCAACAACAGGGTGGAATAGTTGAGTCCTCACCGCCTGGAACGCGTCCAAAATTGGCTCTGCGGCCCTGCGGTAATTGCTCAGGGGCTCTGTTCAGGCACTGGGATTATGACAACATGCCTTGTTCTAAAATAGTTTTGAGAGGCAGCTCACAAAGATAGGAAATAAATAAGCCTTTGATTTGACTCGATCTGGTTAAGTGCTTCCTCATAGCTGACTGGAAAAATGTCCTCATGATAAAAATTTTACCGCATAGACATCTTTTGAAAGTATGGGTAATACTTCCCAAATCAAAAATCATTTGTGGTTTAAAAAAAATAGCAGTGGGGTCATATGGTTATATAGTGCTTCACACTTTATATTTGTGTGCTCAAAAATGTATTGGCCACTAAACATTCTGATACGAGATGATTTTTAAGTGGCTGCGTAACCTGTTGGGGGTAGAATATAATTTATGTAACCAGTCCCCTTCGGATGTTTAGGTTGCTTTGAGGTTTGCTTTTGGGATCAAGAGCGTGATGAGCACCCTTACAGTTAGATAGATAGGCTGATCCCAAGGCTCCCTCAGTACAGAGAACTAAAATGGGAGTTGCTGAATTAGGGGGTAAGGCTTTGGATCTGTTGCCGAATCGGCCTTCTAGCAGGGCATTTGGTGCCCTGAGGCCCAGGCGGCGGAGGGTGTGCTTCAGGACCCTGACCCCTCTGGGTGTATATTTCAGCACACGCCCCCGATGTGGGCACTCCTGTGTCTTGTCCCCTTCAGTGTTTACCACCTTGGGGGAAGGCCCTGCAGACCTGGGGGGCTGAGGAGAGCTCCTCATAACCTGGCATTTCCTGGGACCTGCCTTCCGGTGTGTTGAGCATGATTCGGTGTGGCGGGAGCATGGGGACGGTGTACACACGACTGGACATTGTGGTCTGTCCCTTGAGGGCCACAGTAGCTTTCAGGGCCGCCTGAAATAATAGGAACAAGGTAAGTTGCTGATTTGTGACAGCACGGTTTCCCTGAACTTCTGGTGACACCCTTACAACCTTGGTTAACTGATGTTGTTTTAATTTTTTCTTAACTGTTGTGTCCTTTCCTTTCTCTTATTTTCATCTCCAATTTCCTGTTTTTTTTTCTTCTTTTTTTTTTTTTTTTTTGTTCAACAGCAGGATCAGGTATGTGATGGGGGATCTGCTTGTAGTAGTGGTCTGCTGCTGCTTGTAGTTAATTTTGCTGGTTTTTTTTTTTTTTAATGGCATGATCTGTGTTAATAACTAGGCTGGTGGGAGCTTCCGCATCTCTCCCCTGTGATTTGGAGGGGAGGGTCTCATCTCCCCTTCAGTGGGCCAGAAAAGGACTCCAGCAGGGCTTGGATTCTGGTTAAAAACCAGCTGGCCGTGTGCATGCCACCACTGCGGGATGACGTGGAACCATGGGTGACCCCGCAGATGCCTCAGTTTCCTAAATTGTAGGCCTGACTTCCAGTGGGATACCTTGGTTCTGTGATGACTGAGGGAGGATTGCATGTCTTCAGTCCTGTTTTTCTTCGCCCCAGAAATGCTTCTGCATGAGCAAATCATTTGCAAACAGTGAGCAGACTGTTTCCGTCTGTTGGATCCAGAGACTTGGAAATAATCTCTTGATTGTGGCTTCTGCCCCTCTGGGTGATGGGGTCCTGCAGATCCTAGAAGCATATTAGATGGCTCAAGAGCCAGGCTACTGGTGACATAATATGGGGACAGAGTCTCCAGACCAAAGTTACTGAGGCCGTACCTTCTTCTGAGCACGGCATCTCTCTGTAGGAATAAAGATTTTTCAAAGATATTTTGAAATCTAATGGGAGAGGACTTTTGCTTAAATACCTGCATTTTCACGGAGGCTGCCCCAGGGAGTTAGTAGAACAGAGCTCATCTGAAACAAAGCAGCCACACACCTCCTGAGTCTTGGTCTTTTTTTCAAAAAGCTTGCTGTGTCTTTGGCCCCATTCTCATTTCTCTACCCATTCTTAAAAGTGTGCCAAAGACAGGGTATTTAGGATACATTTCAGACTTCCCCAATCTTTCTTAATTCTGAAGACTTCTCGAAGCGAAAACAAGGTGACCGATAGCCACCGTCTAGCTCTTTTTGCCAAACAGCGCTCGTTTTAGCAGTCCTGTCCTGCTTTATATTCGGTGGTGGGAGGCAGACGCTGTCAGGCCCAGAGCCCATTGCTGGTTGCATTTGGTTCACACAGTATACAGAGTGTATGTAACTTTCCTCCCTCTTGGTTATCAACATTGTGAAATGGTCAAGATGTCCAAATTACAAGTCCCCTGTGGTTTGCTCTCTGGATGGGAACGGGGGTCCATCTGGAGCATCTGTGACCTGAAAGAATTGATTGCTCTGGGGCCTTGGGTTTTTGTGTGTACTGTGTTTGTGCAGTTGTGAAGATAGAATTGTGTTTAATTTTTTTTAGTGTTTATTTTTGAGAGAGAGCAAGTGAATGCGCACAAGTTGGGGAGAGGCAGAGGGAGAGAGAGGGAGGGAGACACAGAATCTACAGCAGGCTCCCAGCTCTGAGCTGTCTGTACAGAGCCCGCAAACTGTGAGATCATGACCTGAGCTGAAGTTGGTCAGCTTAACCAGCTGAGCCACCCAGGTGCCCAAGAATGCGGTTTCTAAAAAGCCAAGCATTTCTTCTGTAAATGGTCCTGCACTGAAAGATCAAGTGTGGGTTTATTTCCAGGATTTTTGGCTGTTAGTGTATGGGCACGGCGTTTCTTCCTCTAGAAGAACACGCAGCCCGTTTCCTACTGATAGTGAACCGGCTCGACCAAGAAACGAGTTCTAGAGCAGACCAGGTGTGCTTGGAGGAGGATCTGACTGCCTGCGAAAGGGAACAGGCACCAGAAGTGTCTCGCTTTCCTGGGCGCTCTCTGATTGGAGCAGGGACGTGGTTCTATCTGCTCTCCCCTCAGCTTTGCGTGGCTGCCTCCCTGCGTGAAGCTGGTGCATCCGCACTCGTGGGGGTCCCTTCAGATTTAATGAGGAATCCTGCCTGTTGGCAGTCAGGCTTGACGCTGTGACCAGGGTGCTCCCCCAGCACCTCAGCCTTTGTGTTTAGAGTGGAGCTGAGGGGTGCAGGCCCGCATCTGACTGCTCTTTCTGTGCCTTCTTTAGCAACCCAGGGAGATCTGTGACCTGGTTGGGTTCTGTGACCAGGTGAAGGAGATGCCCATGCAGACTCTAGTCCCTGCCAAAGTGGTCTCCGAGAACGTCATCCCTGCGTTGGAGCTGGTGGAGCCCATTAAGGTATCCGCTGTCACGGTCTTGTACCAGCCGGAGCTGTGTGATGCCCAGGCCACGCCACATTGTACCACGTTCTGTGGGGCATGTGCTTTTTTGGTTCCCTGTTTGGCTGCTAAAGGTGTTTGAGTTTGAGGCCGTTCGTTAGTTTATGGCGTCCCTGTACTAGTGCAGCACCCCCCTCCCAGGCCCGAGTGCATTTGTTTCTTTAGTTACAAACCCGAGGGTTTCACGGGGTCAGCCTGCACCTGTAGCACGTCTGACCTTTTCTAGTATGTCTGTGCCCCTCCACCCTGCCCCCCTGTCGCCGCAGTGCAAACCCAGTATTCCCAGAACACCCCAGGGCTCATGCAGAAGCTTCGCGGCGTGCTGCCTTGCACGCATGGGTGTCTTTGCCTTGTTTCCCCCGCACCCTTCATGTGGTAAAGATCACCGTGTTCCAAAATCAGCTTTATTCATCACTTGCTACGGGTCCGGCAGGGTGTTAGAGATGGAGTCCCGGAACCGTTGACCTGGAGTGGTGAACAGAATTGTCCTGGTGTTCATCCTGACGGGTCTGGGCCACGTGACATTTTATCACATGGCACGCGCACGCACTTATTCCAGAAGTGGCCGTGTCGCTTGACCTTTGCGTGTCTCGTCTCCCCCTTGGTCCCCTCTCAGCATGTGCAGCGTGTGGACCGTGGGTTTCAGAGGTCACATGGGGCTGGAGAAGCACTTCCACCTGCCCTGTCTTGCTGACCGGATTACTGGCCGGAAAAAATAAAGGGGAGTTACAGCGTGTATTCTGGCTACATGTGGCTACACGTTTAAATAAAAGCCGTTCCTTGTTTACCCTCGCCATAATCCACGCGCTCAGTAGACCTTTGTGGCTCATGCTGCCCTGCCGGACAGCAGAGGTGGAGACTGTTACTCCTGCCACAGAAAGCTCTAGTTGGGCAGATTACTTTATTTAAGACATGCTGTAGGAAAGCAGTCTCAGTTCTAATGAGACTTGATACTCAAGAGCAGCCCTGAAATGTGTTGAAAGCTTTGTCTTCTAAACAGTAGACAGGAAGTGAGTCCTCACTTGCCTGCTGTCCTATTCCCCTTCCCCAAATGACTGCGGAATGATGAAATGATTGTGACCAGATACATCACGTGGACAACTCTTTGGGGTCAGGGGATGGTTTCACTGTCTCCTGAAGTATGAATTCTTGGTTTTGGGTGCAGGGGGTGCGTGGCGGGATGGAGGACTGTGTGAAGGGATGGGTCTCCTGCCATGTAAAACCAGCAGGGACGGGACTCGGACATTGGGAAGAAGCCACCTTTGGGGTGACAGTCTCTTGTCCCTGCCCACAGGGTGTCCCTTTCCCTTTAGAGCAGCGGGGCCCAGGGGTGAGGCGAGGGTCTCGGCATTCAAGTGCTCTCCTGCCCTTTCAGGAGAAGGACATGGTCCAGGCGAAGGCTAGTGTGAACTGCGAGTTGTGTGAGTACGTGGTGAAGGAGCTGGTCAAGCTGATTGACAACAACAGGACCGAGGTATGTGCGTTTCCAGAATGCTAGAGTGCCCCCGTTGCCCAGTGGCAGAACCGGCAGAGGGGTGGACTTGGCCCTGGCTGGCCCTGGACACAGTCCCCCCGGTGTCTGCATACCTGCTGGCTGCCAGTGGGCCCCTCTGGGCCGGGGTCGGGCCTGTTTCAGAAGTCTGGTCTTTCTGGGGAGGAGTCCACACCTTGCTGGCGGCTGGTTTCCCGGATCATGTTAGCATTTTGAGAATCTTTCCCAGACCTGTGCAGCCTCTCATCTTCTAATAATGATCCTCTTGTTCCATGTTTCAGGAAGAAATAATTCACGCTTTGGATGAGGTGTGCTCAAAATTGCCCACATCCTTATCTGAAGAGTGTCAAGAGATGGTGGAAACTTACGGCAGGTCCATCCTGTCCATCCTCATGCGGGAAGAGAGCCCCAAACTGGTGTGCAGCCTGCTCCATCTCTGCTCCAGCCAGGGGCCGCCCGTGCCACCCGGTGAGCAGGGGGAGGCTGTGGCTGGCTGGCCCCTGCGGCGGGGAAGGGCCCGGCCCGTACTGAGCCTGTGCTCCTGTGTGTAGTACGCGTGACTCAGCCGCGGGACGGTGGCTTCTGTGAGGTATGCAAGAAGCTGGTAAGCTACTTGGACCACAACCTGGAGAAGAACAGCACGAAGCAGGAGATCCTGGCTGCTCTGGAGAAAGGCTGCAGTTTCCTGCCTGACCCGTACCAGAAGCAGGTATGCCCTGAGCTGCTCCAGGCCAGTGTCAGAACCTGCCTGGAGTGAGCAGAGGCTGGGGCGGCTCATCACTAGTACCCGTGCCTGAGGCTTTCAGCAGGAAGAGCTAGCCATTCCGTAGAGGCAGTCTGTCGGCTCAGGGGGACCCTTGGGGGGGAATAACAGGAGCAGGTGAGGTGAGGCTGAGTGTGGGTGCGTGGGGTATCCGGGAAGGGGGTCCTGGGTTGGCAGTGGCAGGAATTCTTTTGGAAGAACAACGTGTTGCGCCCCCACTCTGCGTGGACATCCCTGGACCTGGGTCTGTATCTGTGTTTATCTGACAGTGTGATCAGTTTGTGAGTGAGTATGAGCCCGTGCTGATCGAAATCCTGGTGGAGGTGATGGACCCTTCCTTCGTGTGCTTGGTAAGCTCCTCTGGGCGGCTCTGTATGGAAGGGCGCCTCGGAGATTCTGGCCGAGTCTCGGGCTGGGGGTGGGAGGACAGGCTGCTACGCCCACAGCACTTCACTCAGCAGCGCTGCCTTTTTGGAAGCACATGTCAGAGCTGATTCTAGCTGCTTCTAGAAGCTGATAATCTCTGGTTTTGGAAAGGATCAGTAGAGCAGATCTAATTCTTTCCTCCTCCTCTTGCCCTTTTTTCACCATGTAGAAAATTGGAGCCTGCCCCGCAGGCCGTAAGCCTCTCTTGGGGACTGAGAAGTGTGTCTGGGGCCCTAGCTACTGGTGCCAGAGCATGGAGGCGGCCACCCAGTGCAATGTGAGTAGCCGGGCAAGTGCTGTGCGGGCCTGCCTTGCCAGCTGGGCGGCTCCTATGACCATCCTGTATCAGTGGGCCGCTCTGCAGTTAGCTCTCTACCCTGCCTTCATGTCTGGGGGGCGGGTAACTGAGGCCCAGAGAAGCGCTTAGGCTGATCTGTCTTGGCCCCTCCCAGGCAGGAAGACTGCACTCTTGCCGGTGGGAAGGGCGGGGGTGTTCTTCAGTACTTTATGCTTCTGCTTGCCTGTTCTTGCCTTTAGTTCTCCTGTGACAGGGCCAGGGCCCCATTCACGTGAGGCCACTCCTCAGATTGCACAAGTCCTGTCCCTTGGGTCTGTCTTGAGCCTGGCCTGAATCTTCGCCCAAGGGCCGACGGTGGTTCTTGAATGGCCCTGAGAGCTGGCACCACCCAGGCGTTGGTGCTGTGGTGCCGTTGTGCTGGGGCAGCCGCCGGCGGTGCCCCACACCGCTCTCCTGGGTGGGGACGTGTGTGGACCAGTTGGTTACTTAACGCTCCTTTCTGCAGCTTTTTCTTCCTCAAGCGGGTTCCTCGTGACCAGTGGGGCATGACTGTGCTGGTATGGTTGCGTCAGTTAGGCGATGCCCGCCTCGGCCATGGCCACCTCCTTGCTCCACCAGGCCTGGTCTGCAGCACAGTCGGTAGAGGAGTAGGCTTTTGCTGCTATCCTGGGCAGATGTGCCCGAGGGGCCATTGTCCTGCAGGCCTAAGCTGGTGTGCCCCCTTGCGGGTGAGGGTGTGTGCCCCGGGGGCCTCCGTGCAGCCTGCTGAGGGCCAGGACTGTGTGTGGAAGTGGATGGAGGGGACCTGGGCCCTTTGTGCACGGGGACTCCTCTGGGAAACATGGCCAGTGCTTGTAGCCGCTGCCCTGGGCTTGCCTCGGGAGTCCCCAACCCTGGGGTGGATGCACTCCCCACTTTTCAGTGACGTGCTGTCTAGCTGACTTCAGACAAGATAATAGGTTCCATTTTTGGGTGATGTCTGATGCACTAATGGGCCGGGGTGGAATCTGTTGCGTGGAGACTAAACCCTGCTTCCTCTCTCCCGTCAGGCTGTCGAGCACTGCAAACGTCACGTGTGGAACTAGAGGGGATGTTCCTTCTTGGAGAAACTGCAGCATCTTTTCCTACTTGTGTGTGTGGGGCAGTGACCACACGGATCTGTTGACTCTGTTATGAATTAGGACCCCCTTTCCCTCCCCCCTTTCCCGCCTCCCAATTGTAGCACTGCTGTCAGCGGTGGAGGCGCTTTGCCCTCTGCCACCCGTAGCCGCTTCTGTGTTCCCTCCTTTGCCTGACCCGCTGAGGACGTCCTATGCGCCGGGGCTCTTTCAGCCTGACCTTGAGGCTCCCTGGAGGCAGCGGCAGGGGGTGTGGGTGCTGGCAGGAGCCTCCTCTCCATCCTCCCAGCCGGGGGCCTTGTTCTGGGCCCTCCCCCTACCCCCGTGGGGACCGCCCCTCTTCTGGGCTGACTGGCTGCTGTACACAGAAGCAAAACAAAGGCAGTTTTATGTGAAAGATGAGAGGCTCAGAATAATTAGGCGTAGTTTTCACTGTAGGGAGGATTGAGGAAGCAGCTGCTCAGAAGACCTGGCTGAGGCTTGGGTTTGCTGTTCCCCTGTCAACCTTCCATTCACCTTTCCTGTGTCTTTGCCGGTGAGGCCTTGTTTGGGGTTCTGTGGGTTTGGGTGGGAGGGGCAGCCCTGCCTGAATGTAATCTAGCTCCATGTGGAGATCCTGTGGGCCCGCTTTTGCGTGTGAGCATGGACGGTGGTGACCACCGCTTGCTTGCTTTTGTGTCTGCGTGGCCGTGGAAGCCTTGCTTTGTGTGTCTGTCCTGCTGCCCAGGGCCCACCCTTGGCTCTGGGCGTCCCAGCCCCTCCGCTCCAGCCCTCGTTTCCAGGATGTTCTTTCTGACCTTCAAATCAGTGTGGACGACAAGCTCCGAAGCCTTTGGCTTTCAGGTAGAGGGTCTGCTGGGCCTGCTGCCCAGGGGTCTTGGCTGCCTCCTCTCCCATTCGGCTTCTCTTTCCTACTTATAGTTGTCAGGAGACCGCAAGATACGCAGTTGCTATTAAATGGACTTAATGACTTTTTTGGTTTGTTTTGCACTAAAGTTTCTGTGATTTAATAATAAATAAAGTCTGTTAACCAGACCCGAGCCGGAGTGCTTCTGTACCACCTCAGCCAGGGGAGTTTGGTTTCTGAGCGCCTCTGCAGCCACCGACCTGCGGGTGGGCAGCAGTGGGTCCCAGGGACGCCCCCCCCCTCCCCCCCAGCCCACCCCAGGGAGGGTAGTTTACCAGAGCCAGAGCTAAAACTGAAGGAATTGAATTGCCGGTTCCTTGTGAGTTGCTTTTCTTATTTAAAATTCAGACCATTCCAGAAGCGTTCAGTGAGTACCAGTTAAACAAAATCAAGGGGAACATGTTGAAGGAATAACTTAAAAAAGGAATACACACAAACAAACACCCTACATTCAGAACCCAGGGGAACACCAGTCATTTCTCTTGATGAGCTGGGCACATAGGAAGCCAGGGAAATGTAGAGAACGCTGTTCGCGGACGTTGACCATGTCCATGTGGGGGGCCAGGGATCACTCGGCCCCTAGCCGGATGTCCAGCTGGGGATGTGCTAGAAATGCACTGGGACTTGAACCGGAGTCAGGGAGGCCAGGCAGGGTATGCCCACTCTGGGCTCCCCCTCTTCTGGTGCTGAGAGTCGAGGGGAGGCAAGGACAGGGGTGTGGGGAGGGGAGGGAAAGGGCCTGCCTGGCCTCATGGAGCTCGGCCTGGGCGGAGTTGGTCCTCAGACTCCCGGGTCCCCAGCGACCCTCCTTACCTTTGTCCTTAGATGCTTAACATTTTTGTTTGGTTTTCTTAAAAAAATAACAAATTCTGTGAAGATAGAGGTCAGGTGCTGAATGGGCGTCTGGCAGAGGTGGACTCAGCAGCCGCGTGGGCTGCCCCCAGGCCAGCCCGCAGTGGTACGCCCAGAGCCAGCCTGGGAAGGGGCCCGCACTGTGGTCCTGCCCTGGGAGAGACGGGGGACAGGAGCCGCTCACACCAGCGACGCCCCCGTCTGGTCATAGCTCTGTGATCTCCAGGGGGCTCTCCAGGATCACGTCCCGAAGCTTGTGCAGGGGCGTCGATTTGGCGGATTCTGTGCGGGCGTTGCGCTCAAAGGCGCCGGCTTCCGCGGTGGTCAGTGTCTCCAGCGAGCGACCCAGGCCCTTCTGGTCGTCTTCGGGTAGGCTGTTAAGGTCAGTGGCCAGCAGCGTGCCCGTGCTGCCGTGCACCGCGTGGATCCCGTCGGGGCCCTTGAGCTCCGTCGGCAGCTTGTGGCGGAAGCGCAGGCTGCCCTGGCTGGGGCTGCGCTGCCCTGGCTCCTCCTCCAGCTCAGTCTGGATCAGCTGCAAGAGGCCAGGATCCCCCAGTGGCTCTGAGACCCACCCAAGGGCATGCCCAGGGGCCGAGCAGGTGGATGGCCCCGGAGTCCCACCCGCTGTGCCTGTCTCCTTCCTACTGCACAGGGGGAGCTCTGCAAGGGACTATGGACTCGTGCTGCAGTAGGCTGGCCTGCCCAGCTGGGGGGCAGTGTTTCTCAAACTGTGTACAGAGGGGATGCACGGAAGCCTAGGGTGTTAGGGATGTGTTCTTGGAATGTGGGCTTCCTGTGAGAATCTCGAATGTTGGGTATTTGCTTTGATAAAGATTCTGTGGTGCAGTTTTGGTGTCTGGATTGGTCAACAATTTGTTCCCCAGCAGGACACGGAGGCAGTGTCCACAGGTGAAGTTGGAGGGGTGACAGGGTATAGTGGGGACTCCACACGTGGCACTTTTGTGTGGAACTGTTCATCTCTAGCCTATTCCACCTGGGAATTCTTGGCCCAACTGGAAATCTGGGTTTTTGAATAGTCAGTTTTGAAAGTATTGATATCATTGCAGGCAAATACATTTATGTAGGCCCGTTTGATTCTGCAGCCCGTTTCCTATAAGGACGTCACTGCTTTTAAAGGCATCTTTTTGGGGTTCAAGTCTGAGAAACACTCCTCAGCACCCACTCTAGGAAAGGCCACTGCAGAGTCCAGACCTGGCCTGGGGCTGCCGTCTGACTTCCTGGACCCCACCCATTGCTGCCTTTGGCCCTGGCTACTCAACTCCGAGATTCTGAGAAGGTTGAAGTTGGCTGGAGAGAGAGAGGAAGGGAGAAGGGGAGAGGGGAGGGAGGAAAGGCATGAGCACCCCCAGGGCTGGGGCACAGCACACAGCTCCGGGCCGGCCCGGCTACCTCGGAGATGGAGGAGTGGCAGGAGGAGGCTTTTTGCACCATCCGCTGTGCAAAGAGCTTTTTGAGCCGCAGGTAATCCTCCAGGACCACCTTGAGCAGCGATCCCTGGGGGAGCGAGAGGGTTAACCCCCCACCAAGGCCCTCCCCTGCCTGCCACACCCCTCGCTCACTCCCATGACTCGGATGGAGGTGATGGAAGATGCTGGGAGTCTCGGGTGCACAGGCACCTGATCCGAGGGGAGAGGACTGGGGGCAGAGCCTGGTGACAGTGGCCAGCCAGAGCCCACATGGGCTCCAGGCCACGGCAGGCTGCAGTAGCTCCGTATCAGCTGGATGCCCTGGCCTCGGAGCCTAGGGTGGAGAAAGCTGTTCCCCAGGATGCCTCCCCCGTCGCTGTATCCCTGGAGGTGGTCTGAGCTCAGCCAGGGGTCTGGCGCAGGAGCCTGCAGGGAGGGCTCACCTTGATGGGGCCCTCCCGAATGATCTGGCCCAGCTTGGCAATGTTGTCGTACTCTTGGATGGCTGCGCGCAGGTACCGGTCATCATCAGGCTTGACTGCTGCTGGCTCACGCCCAAAAGTCCCCTGGGGAGAGGGCACATTAGCTGGGGCATGGGCAGACTGCATGCGCGTGCGCACGCACGCGCACACACACACACACACACACACACACAGGGTAGTGGACACTCCCCTCCCCCCGCCATCCCCCGAGGAACCCAGCACCTTGGCAGGCAATGGTGAAGGCCTGCTTCACCCCTTCCCCCCGCCCCACACGACTGCCCACCCCCTGCCGCTCCCACCAGCCAGGGCTCACATGGGTGCGGGTGGGGCTGTTCCATAGGTCAGCGATCTCACTCAGGCTCTCTGGCAGGTCATCCTCATGCTCTGCCTGGGCGGCCAGCTCCAGGTTCCGGCAGAAAGGATCCAGCCACACGGGGTTGGCCCTGCAGGTGGGGTGAGGGGGGGACAGAGGCCCTTGTAGCCTAACCATTAAGCCCTGCTCTTTCCCCTGGCCAACAGTAGTACCTTCATGGGCCTGGAGGTTCATGGCCATGAGAAGTAGGCCCCTAGCACTTGGGTGCACACTCCCACACTAGCATCCCTCAAGAACCAGGACACCATGTCGATCTCGATCAGTTTTGGTACAGAGGCCTCACTCTTCACTTGGGGTCCAACTCTATGTCTGCTGGAACTGGGGGCCCAATTAGGGTGTTGATAGCAGCTCAGCCAACAGTTTGAATGTAGAGAAGGGTGGCTGGCCACCAGGGGGCACCCACACCAAAGATTTTAGCTAGTCCGGTCCCTTAGAGCTCGAGGGGTGTCAGACAATCCGCTTCAACTAGGTCTTGGGCGGGCCTCCCCAAAGTGACCCTGATGGCTCAGGGGCTCCACTCACCCATCGAAGGAATACTTGTTGGTGTTGGGCATGTCCATGATGTCAATGAAACCACGATTCCCTGTAGGGAGAAGTGCTGGGACATGGAGGGGAGGGAGGCACCCTGCTGCGGCTCGGTGAGCCTGAGTCAGCACTCTAGGCCCCCAGAGGCTCCTCCTGCCCTCTCCTCCTCCCCTCCACCCCCAATCCCCCATCACAGCCCTTGCTCACCTGCCGAGCCAGCCACAATTGCTTTGAGCTTCCTCTTGTGTCTGGAGAGGAGGGGAGAGAGGGGCTGGTGAAGGGGGCTAGATGGGGCTAGTATCTCAGGGTCCTGCCTGCCTCTGTGACTGTCCCAGGAGCAGGGCTGGCCAGCCTAACCCAGGGCGGGGAGGCAGAGTCACTCACACGGTCCTGTAGTACCAGTTCATGAGGATGAACAGCATGGCAGCCAGGAAGAGGAGAATGGCCAAGACAATGATCGCCATCTGGGGGAGTGGGGCCAGGTGTGAGTGGGTGGGAGCACCCAGGGCAGGGGGGTGGTGGGGTGGGTGGGGCGGGGTGCCGCCAGGAGTACCTGCAGGGCTGACATGTCGTCGGGCAGCCGGGCAGAGATGGCAGGCTGCACGTCCAGGACGTTGTAGTTCCGGAAGAGGTTCCGCAGCTGCTCCTTGTTCTCGTCAATCATCTGGATCACCCTGAGCGAGGGGCGGGTGCCTCAGCTCCCCTCCTCCGCCATTCCTTGAGAACTCATTGCACTCAGGAGGCTCTGCTGAGCCCCTGCCTCCGACCCCCAGACTCACCCCCACGAAGCTTTGCAAGATCAATACTCACTCAGCGAGAATAGTTTTGTATCTTACAGAGTTTACCACCCCTCATACAGGATCCGGCTTGCTGCTTCACCATCCATGTAATACTCCCATTTTACAGATGGGGAGATTTAAGACTCAGAGGGATGGAGCTCTGCTCATACCCACAAACTCCTCTCTACCAGCCCTGCCCACCTCTGGGCGAGAGCCCCACACAGCAGGCCTGAAGGTGTTTATCAGCCTCCTTCGGTGGGTCCCCTCCCCGGCTCCGGGCAGGCAGGTGGGCCAACCATCTGAGCACAGACCCCACCCACCGGTCCACGTCCAGGATGCGGTTGGTATCACGGTTCACCACATGGATGAGCAGCTCTGTCTGTGCGAAGTTCACCCGACCCTTCTTGTCCACGTGGAACTAGGCGAGAAGAGGCATCGTTGGGTGTGGTGGGAACAAGGGATGGATGGGGAGGTGCTCCCACCTACCCAGCCAATAAACCTATTACTGCTGAGTGCTCGTGGAGGACCAGGCATGTGGTCATTCGCTTCGCCACATCGGGCCACGTGCTATTATTAGCCTGATTTTACAGGTAAGGCCGGAGACGTGGAAGGACTTTCCCAAGGCCACGTAGCTAGGGAATGACTGAGGGGGCACAGAGACCCCCTTTTACACCCCTAATCTCTCCACACTGCCCCATCCCTGTGGCCTGGTCCTCCTCCCCTCACAGCCCCCAGCCCCGGGGTGGGTTCTGTGGGGGCACCTGCACGTCGTCAGTGTTGACGATGGCACCGGTGATATTGGAGAGCAGGCGGATGAACTCCTCCTCAAAGCCACGCACACGGTCGGGGATCTCATTAATGACAATCTTGACACGCTGGTCGTCCCTCAGGATGTAGATGCCAATGACGGCCGTGTCATTGTGGCCTGCCAGGTCCCGGGCCACAATGTCCACCACAAAGTAGCCAGGGCTGTAGGCCATGAAGAGGTCAAAGGTACGCAGGATGCCATCCACGCTCCCTGCAGGAAGAACCCGTGGGCAGGGAGCTGCTCAGGGGGCACCCGGTTCCCCTCAATCCCCTGGGAAGGGGCAAAGGCCAGGGGCACTTGGACACCCTGAGGGGAGGCAGCATCTCAGTCCACAAGTCCCCGCAGGGCCCAGGAGAGGAAAGCTAACAGAGGAGTGGGGGTGAGGGGGGACAAGTGAGCATGAGTGTTTGTCTGAAGGAACAGCAGCGGTGCTGGCTTCCACTCGGCTATTATCCTGGGAGGAGGCAGCCAGTGCTGCCAGAACTGGTACTTCTAGAGATTTCTAAGGTTTTACTTAAACACTGCGAGTTAAAACACAACTGTGGGCTGCAGTGTCCCAAGGGTGACACGTTTAGGACTCCACTGTCCCATGTAGGGGACCATGGGAGACATGTGAGCACCTTGGTGTCTGTCTATTTCATACACACATACACTTCAGAATTCCACATCTGTACTAGACACATGACCAGAGGTGGTAGAGTAGTCTTCTCTTAGAAGACCATAGACCTGGGTTCAAGATCTGCCACTTTCTCGCTGTGTGACCTTTAGCAAGGTACATAGCCCCTCTGTGCCTTGATTTATTAAACTAAGAGCAGTAGGAGATCAGAGGACAAAGGAATGATGTCTGGTTGTGTGACTGAGAATTGGACTTCAGAGGATGGTTAAGGGGAACATAGCATATCTGAAGACAGAGGTGACGGTCAAGATGGTATTTCAGGAATTGAAGATAAATGGCGAAGGCCAATGGAGGATGGTATAGAACAGGATGAAGGAGTGGTGAGGGGCTCGGTGTGGGTGGGCTGGGGGCCCTTATGGATAGTGGGGGGCTGTGGAACCAGGAAGAGGGACTAGGAGGAAGACCTGGTGAGCCTTGAAAGCCAGGCCAAGGAGTCCAGACCGACCCCTGTAGGCAAGGGTGGGGAAGGGGTTGGGTAATGGGATACCCTCTGGGCCTTGTAGAACCTGACCCAAGAGGCTCAGCTATCCACACAGGCAGATACACAAGTAAACATGCATGCTTTCCGGTACATATGTGCTCTTGGAATTCTGGCTCTCTGGTGCTTAGCACAGTGGCTGGTCCAGGGAAGGGAGAGATGCATAAATAGGAAGATAGGCGAACATAAGGAAAGGAGAATGGGAAGGTGGATGCATGGACAGATGGGTGGGCAGATGCATGGGTGGGCAGACTGACACATGGGTGGGTGAATGGATGGATGGATGGATAATGGATGAGAAGATGGAGAGATGGAAGGAAGGACAAAATGGTTGGGTAGATGTGGAGATGGAAAGAGGGATCAGAGACTAGAAAGATAGGTGGGTGAAGGAAAGGATTAATAGCTGGCTGAACGATGGCAGGATGGGTGGGTGAACAGAAGGACTGACACGGCCGGCCGGCCATCGTACCCCACACAGACCCTATGTCCTCCAGACTACAGTCCATGCAGTGACAGAGGTCTTGGGTGGAGCCCCCTACCCATGGTGAAGACCTGGCCCACATCCTCAGAGTCATTGGCAAGGGCCCGGAAGTAGTGGATGGCCAGGATGCTGTAGAAGACGAGGCTGTTGTTGCCAATGTCTGCATCCAGGGCCAGCACCTGGATCAACTCTGAGCCCACCTTGGCATCGGTGGCCACTCCTGCAGAGAACGGGCAGGCGGATGTAAGTGGCAGGGCGGGGGCTGCCCCGCACCCCAGACCCAGGCCCTGGGCCCTGCACCTGCAGTGTACTCAGCCTTGGTGAAGCGCGGGGGCTGGTCGTTGATGTCTTCCAGCACGACGCGCACCTCCTGCAGGGTGAGGTCGGTGCCCAAGTCGAGGGCTGGGGAGGGCCCACGGGGAGGCGTCCAGCTGCGATTGCTTGAGGCCTTGACGATGAAGGAGAAGAGGGCTTCGCGCTCCCGGTCCAGGTCCCGCAGCACCAGCAGACGCCCGTCAGGCTGCAGACGGAAGTTCTTCTCTTCGTTGCCGGCTGAGGGCGGGACCACGGCACAGGGTGAGGGGGCAGGGCTGGGGAGGGGCAAATTTGGGTCATCTCCAGCCCCAGGGTAGCTAGGGCATTAGCCCAGGCAGGCCCCACCTGCGATGAAGTAGTACACGATGGCGTTGGGGCCCTCATCTGCATCCACGGCTCCCGTCACGTTGCCCACGAGGGTGCCACGTGGGGAGTGCTCAGGCACTGTCAGCAACTGGTACTGAGGGCTGCCTTTCTGCAGGGGGGAGAGGAGGTCACATGAAGGCCAAGGCCAGAAGGCCTTAGGCAGTACCTCTGTGGGTACTGAAGGACTTTATTGCCCAGGCCTTTGGGGTGAGCAGGACCTCCATAATCTCAGGGGGCAAGGGCTGGGCCTGGCCTGGCAGGTTCTATGAAGTAACCCAGTACCTGAACGCAAGTCTGAACAAGGGGGCACACGTTAAAAAAAATTTTACAGAGAGAGAAAGAGAGAGAGAGTGGAGGAAGAGCAGAGAGACAGAGAGAGGTAGACACAGAATCTGAAGCAGGCTCCAGGCTCTGAGCTGTGAGCACAGAGCCTGACATGCGGCTCAAGCTCAGGAATGGCAAGATCATGACCTGAGTCAAAGTCGGGTGCTTAACTGAGCCACCCAGGTGCTTCAAGGGGTCACACTCTTACACGCACATGCATGTGCACTCTTAGTCTCCGGGGAATGTCACCCCCATGTGCACATAAGAAAAAAATCCACCAAGTTGCAGAGTATGCATCTATGCGAGCGGCTCGGCTGGCCCAGCTTGGTGAAGTGGAGGTGAATTTCAGGTTTCCTGGGTGCCCTCATGTGTGTGCAGTTAGGAGAGCTCCAGCTCCAGGTGTCAGGTGCGTTTGTCTGCTATTTTGGCTGCTGGGCAGTACCTTGAAATAGTAGCTGCTCAATAAATACTTGTAGGAAGCGCGTGCAGGTTCTGAGTGTACCCACATGTATATGCACAGTGTGCACAGGAGAGCGTGTGCATGTGTGCTTGCAGCGGGGAGTCCCTGTGTGGGTGCGCGGGTTTGGGGGGATGGGCGAGCTCACCGGGGGCCTCACAAAGAGAGGCTCATTGTCGTCAATGTCCTCCAGGGCCACTTGCAGTGGCTGCATGGTCTCGTATGGCACTGGCTGACCCAAGTCGCTGGCCACCAGGATGAGCTGGGGGGGGCAGAGGAGCACAGTCAGAGTAAGGCACCTGGGGGGCCAGGTCACGCCCCGGGGGGCATTCTAGGGTGGAGGTGTGGCCCCTCCCTTGGCCCCGCCCCTTGCATGGGGGCCCGCCCCCTTACACTGTACACGGCCTGTTTCTCGCGGTCCAGGCGCTGAGCCGTCTGGATGAGGCCGCTTATGGGGTCAATGGTGAAGTACTCCCAGTCACGGTTGCCCGCCGTCTTCAGGAAGCTGTAGCGCACGGCCCCGTTGAGGCCCTCATCCTTGTCTGTGGCGTAGACCTCATAGACATTGGAGCGCAGCGGGATCTCCTGTGGTGGGGGTGGGGGCATATGGCAGGGAGGCTCCTGGGGCACCTGGGGCACCTGAGAGAAGGCCAGCGCCCAGGCCCTGACGGAGCGCTTGTTCTTTGTCCTCGCTTAGCAGAAGGTCCTTGCCACCTCCCGGCATCCTTAGGAAACGCCTGCCTGCTTAGCTGGACTCTCCTGCAGTCTGAGCACCTGCCAGGACATCCCTTCCCCCCAGCCGCACTCCACTACCCGGGGATGGCCCCACCCAGTCTCCATCCCCAACGCGGGACAAAGTCTTTCCGGTTATTGCCCTTCCAAGACCTTTTCCCATCCCTCGGATCCCACTGCATGCTGAGGTCTGGAAGGCAGAAGGGGAATCCGAGAGCTCAGGCCCCAGCCCCTCTGTTCCTGGGTCTGTCTTGCTCCCGCTACCCACAGGAGCCCTGGGGATCCTCAGACAATACTATCTACCCAATGGGGTACCCGAAAATGAGGGGCAGGATGATAGGCTGACACATGGCTGGAGACGACCTTGGGTTCTAATTTGTTAACTGTTTCTTACTAATTCACTGTGTGACTTGGACATATGCTATGTCACGGCTCTGGACCTCAGTCACCTGATTCCCTTAAGGCTGAGATATCAAAAAATCTGATGGGCATCATACACTGAGCCATAATAAGCTGCACAGGGCACAAGGCAAAGGGCAAATTTCTTGGCTTTTAGTTGGAAAATTGTCAGCTCAGCATGGTTTCACCGTTTATCTCACCGATCATGACAATCAGGGACTCCCAATGGCAGTCACATCTAATTAATAGAAAGTGGGATGGCAAGGAGATGATTACTTAACAAATGCTGGGTCTCCGCGAGACCTGAATCTTTCAAAATTTGGAGTCTTGAAGGGAAAAATGTAGCAAATGGGCCTTTGTGGTAGAAAAAGAACTAGATTATTACTAATTTATACCTTGCCTCATTCCACAGAAAAGATTTGAGACAATTTATAAGAATGTATAAATTATAATAAGAGAGAACAAGTTAAAAATCGGCGTAAAGAAAATGGGGGCACCTGGGTGGCTCAGTGGGTTGAGTGACTCTTGATCTCAGCTTAGGTCATGATCTTGTGGTTCATGGGATCGAGCTCCATGTCAGGCTCTGTGCTGACAACACAGAACCTGCTTGGGATTCTCGCCCTCCCTCTCCTTGCCCCTCTCCTGCTGTGTGCATGCTCCCTCTCTCTCAAATAAACTTAAAAAAATTTTTTTAGAGGAAAAAAAGGAGAAGAAAATGATTGGCAGGAAGATGGAAACTGAGGGAGGGGGCCAGGTTTGTGCAGGGTCATTCGGTGTAGGCTGACTGCTCTGAGCTCCCTGGCGGGCAGTGCAAAGAGGACCACTCCGTCATTGCAGTAGGCATGGGAAAAATCAACTCACAAGGTAAGAGCACAGTATCTCCTAGAGCTCAGCCCTGGGACAGATTTCTCCTGTGGGGCCTCGAAGAGGAGACCGAGTGACCACAGGGACTTGATGCTGACATTCTGAGAGGTGGAGGCATGCTGAAGTTCGGGAACAGAGAGCAAGTGGGAGACACCCCGATTATACCAAGGGGCCAGGTTGGGCCTGGGTGCTGAGAGGAAGGAGGGAAGGATGGGAGGTGAAGGAGTACGCCCTGTCTTTACAAAGCCATTTAAACAATTTTTTAAAAAGTTTATTTATTTTGAGAGAGAGAGACAACGTGAGCAGGGGAGGGTCAGAGAGAGAATGAGAGCAGAGATGGGGCAGAGGGAGACAGAATGTGAGGAGAAGAGGAGCAGAGGGAGAGGGAGAGAGAGGATCCCAGGCAGGCTCTGCACTGTCAGCATGGAGATAGATATGGGGCTGGATCCCACAAACCGTGAGATCATGACCTGAGCTGAGGTCACGAGTGGGACGCTTAACTGCCTGACCACCCAGGCCCTGCTACAAGGCCATTTAGAGCAAGGAACGAAAGGGCTAGGGAATTCTGGAACCTCAGCCACTTCCCCTTGTTTCTTATTTTGATGCTGGTACTCGATTCCTAGGCTTGGTATCAGCAGGAACAACAGACAGACGGAAGGAGCATGGGTGTTTATTTTGAGACACAAATATGGGGGAAGTGGGTTTCTGGGGAGACTGGCTTTTCTGGTAGACTTCTAGGAGCAAGAGATAGGCATCTAAAAAACACTCAGAAAAGTCACTTTCTCAAGGTCATTGGCTGGTAGTGACAGAGTCAGACTCGGGCCCTTGTGCTGACACAGCTCAGCTCCTACTATTGCCCGCCGTTCAGTACTGCCCTGTGTGACACCGAGCAGGTCTGCCTCCCGCTCTGGCCTCGGCTTCCCCACTTTCACAGAGGGGCCCTTTCCGTCTCCCAGGCGCGACTTCAGGAGAAACAAGCGGATATGGGATATGGGAAGGGAGACACTGGCAGGCGGGAGCACCAGGGGACGGCGGTACCTCTCTGATGCGGAGGACAGTGCCATTGGGTGGGCGCACGAAGACTGGGCGGTTATCATTGACGTCGATGACCTCCACCAGGAGCATGGTGGTGCCCCAGAGTGGGGGCTGTCCGCCATCCGTGGCCACCACCGTCAAGTTGAACCTCTCGTAGGACTGCAGTGGCCGCTTCGTGGTCACCAGGCCTGAGTCCATGTCCACGAGGAAGGCCTCTGGCAGGTGGGACAAGAGAGCAGGGCCTGGCCTGGCTGAGCCGTCCTTCCCCTCCCTCCTCCTCCTCCTCCTGGCCTGGGGCTTGAGGCCAGACTGCCCTTCTCACTCCCAAGGCATCATGGGTAGGGAGCAGACCACTTACCCACGCCAGGGCCCTCAAGCGAGTAGGCCAGCTCCCCATTGGAGCCCTCATCCTGGTCGCTGGCCATCATGGTGATGACCGAGGTGCCTGCCGGCTCATTCTCATACACGCTTGTGCTGAACTGGGGCTTGGAGAACTGTGGCCGGCAGTCATTGATGTCTAGCACCTGGATCACCACCTGGGGTGGAGGGGAGGCTGAAGTCAGAGGTCAGGAGCATACGAGGGGGTGGCTTCAGGTGACCCAGTCACACGGGAGGAAGCCAGGCTGGACAGCGCCCACTGGTGGAGTCTGACCTCAATGTATTTAACCGCCCCCCCCCCCGCCCCCCCGCCCCGAGTCTCAGTTTCCTCAGCTGTACGTTGGGGACGGTAGTATCTTATCTCTCGGGCTAGCGAGGCTCACGCATGATGGGACACGTGCACGGTGCCTGGCCCCAGGAAACGCTCTGTGACTTGTACTGGGGTTAGCAGAGCTGCTTTGTCCTCTGCCACTTCCCACAGTGACCCTATACACCCGACTCTGACCTCTGGATCTTAGTGCTGGGCTGTGATTCCTCCACAATCAGAAGTTCTCTTGCTGGCGATGTGTGTCTGGCTTGGGACTCGGCTCCCTTTGCTGGCCCCACAGCCCAGGGCGGGCCCTATGGACACCCGGCGGCCCCCCACCGCCACCCCGGAGCCCCCACGGCCCTGCCTGACCGCATTCTCATCAGAGCCTTCACAGCAGTGGTTTCAGGAACCCCTTTCCGTGCACGAAGCACTTGCCAGGTCCCCGTCTCCCGGACCCACCGCTGCCTTGGGCAGGAAGCATCGTCATGGCTGCCCTTGCCTCCCACCCCTGCGGATTTGACAGCTGGCGCTCAGAGAGGTCATATGCCAAATGCAGTGTGCTCAGCTAAGGGGATCTTTGTCTTCTGACTCCAAATACTGTGCTTTCCACGGCTCATGTGACACAACACGGCCTATGTGACGGGGACGGGATCCGGGTACGTGTGAGAGCTCCCGGCCCCTTTCCCCTGCCGGCTCACAAGAATCTGTCTTGGCCCACACAGCTTCTCGCCCACCCCCGCCCTTCAGGAGAGCTTGCCCGGGATGGTTAGGTTATTGTGGGGAGATTTGGAAGGACTGAATACGGAATGACAGGACTGGAGAAGGCAGAAACAGCGGGGACGAGAGGAGGAGAAAGCAAAGCCTTAAAGCATGGGACTCCGGAGAGAAGTGAGGATAGAGCCTAGAAGGCGGTACGCTGGCCTCAGGGCGACTGCGTTGATACTGGAAGTAGAATAGGAATGGGGCTGGGAATTGGAACCCTCGCTAGTGTTCTTTAAGAGATGTAAATAAAGGTAATCGCTTTACGATCATGTTTGGTGGCTAGACCATTTCCTTCAATGGGTCACCACGGACAGTGGGACGGACAGTGGGACGTGTGGAGCCCCAGGCTTTACTTGAGTTACACTCGGGTGTGTTTAACTGCCTTGGCAGGTGTTTGGCACAAGAGATCTCTTTTCGAGAGTCCCCATCTCCCCAAGCCACAGCCATTTTGACTCGGTCAGCTAAGCTCTTTCTGTCTCCTCCTGTCACCACGTCTCCAAGGGAACTGGGTGGCTCTGCTCCCACGCTGCAGCATTCTCTAAAGGAAAGGCTTTGCTTGATGCCTCCACAATTCCAGGCCTCAGTGCTCCTGGCCCAGGCTGGTGGCCCTTACCTGCACCGAATTTTCTCGGCGGTTGCTGGCTATATCCCCAGGGTTGTCTTTGGCCAAGGCGGTCAGAATATAGTGGTCCTTCTTCTCCCGGTCCAGAGAGGATAGCACATAGATGTCACCCTAGTAGGGAGGGTGGAATCAGGTCCTTCATCGGTCTGATGTTTACTGAGCACATACTATACGCCAGACATTGTTCTAGGCTTTGGAGCTGCAGCACTGGGCAGCCCCTGCCCCCACGGAGCTCTGGTTCCAGTGGCCCTCCTTATCCCCTGTGCCCAATCCGCCTGGAGATGGGACGGTCAGCTCAGGATGGAGGTCGCTCCCCGGCCAGGTATACAGAGTACTGAGTCTGTAAAGAGTTGCTCTTCCTCATGCTGGGCTGGGAGCACGACTGACCACACTGAGCAGGAAGGACAGAACCCTGCTGACGGGGCAGAGTGCAGGGGGATGTGGGCAGGGAGAGGCAGCAGCGGGGAAAGTCCAGTTATAGCCCAGCCCCTGGGGAAGCTGACCAACCACCCCCAGGCCCCAGTGGTCTCTCCTGTGCTGAAATAGCAGCTTTGGACCAATTTACAGTCATTTGAAATCCTCCCTCATCCTTTCTCTTGAGGTTCTGCTCTCCCCCGCATCTGGGACGTCCCTCCCCCAGCACGGAATACAGGGCACTGTATACAGCAGGAGCTCAAACACTGTGCCCCCTTTCTGCAGAGCTTCCTACACCTCTCTTTTGACAGTTTCAAACAGCAGCACGTGGACTTGCATCAGGTTTTCTAGTTTGGTGGGGACACATCTCGGAATTCCAATAGTCTCTGGCCATCTACAGCGTGTCTGGGACTGTAGCAGGGCTTGCTGACTTGGTTAAAAAAACCTCTGCGGCCACAGATGTCCTGATGGCATAACCCAGAAACCGGGTCGACTATGATCCTTTTGGTGGCTCTTCAGCCTACAACCCTGGGCCCTTCCCACCACCCAGCTTGCCTGCTTACCGTAGTGGGGTTGATGGCGAACTTGCCCTCTCCGTCCCCGAGGCTGTACTCAATGAGGGCAAAGTTGCCTGAGTCGGCATCAGTCGCAGCGACTGTCAGGATGACCGTGCCCACAGGCACATCCTCAAAGATGGCTTCCTGGAGCCCAGCGGGGAGCGGGGGTTGGTGGGAGGGGAGAGAGAGAGTGGGCCAAGGTGAGTCCTAGAATCTACGCCCCTTCCCTAAAAACTCACCATGGTAGACAACCTAGTGCACCAGGCTGCTCGTGGGGTGGTCGTGCCCCTGGGGCTCAGAGGCAGGCAGGGTAAGGGTGGAAGATGCCCGAAGGTCCCAAGGAATGGGCACAGGTCCTGACCCCGCCTGTTGCCTGACCGCCCACCTGGTAGGAGGGCTGGTCAAAGATGGGGTTGTTGTCATTGATGTCCACAATCTCCAGGTAGACAGGGATCTCAGCTGCCCGGGGCGGGGACCCATTGTCTGAGGCCCTCACGGTAAAGTTGAGCCAGTGTACTTCCTCGTAGTCCACCGTCCGGTTGGCAATGACTTTCCCTAAGACACAGAGGCGCTTGCTGCCAGTTTTGCCGCTCCGCACTCACGGGAGCTCTCCAAAGTATAAAGAGAAGGATCTGAAGCCCTGAGGGGCAGATGGGGTCTCCCTCTCTTTCTTTTTTTTTTTTTTAATGTTTTTTTATTTATTTCTGAGAGAGAGAGAAACAGCGTGAGCAGAGGAGGGTCAGAGAGAGAGGGAGATACAGAATCTGAAGCAGGCTCCAGGCTCTGAGCTAGCCGTCAGCACAGAACCTGACGCGGGACTGGAACCCACAAACCGTGAGATCATGACCTGAGCCGAGGTCGGACGCTTAACCGACTGAGCCACCCAGGCGCCCCAGATGTGGTCTCTTGAAGAAAGAGCCTGGCCCAGCAGCACTGCCCAGCGGCAGGCAGGCCAGATGCCTAACTGCAACTGGTGTCCAGCTGCTCTTACTGGAGGGGAGAGAAAGCTTTTCCCAAGGGGTGAGTACCAGCAAGCCCAGGGCCGCCGCCAAGGGTTTCCTCTCGTGGCTTCCTCACTCCCTACGTGACACTAATAGTGGAAGCCTGGCTGGTAGAGATGCTGGTGGCATATGATCCCCGGTTCCCAGCGGCCCTCAGAGGGGGTGCCCACCCCACCCCCAGGACCAGGCACTCTGTCCTTTCCTGTGGTTTGGGCATCTGTGAGTGACGGCAGTGTGGGCCACATCAGATCTGGCCCGGCCCACTGAGGGGCTATGGTGGGGTCCCACCTGGAGGGTGACAGGCGGGCCACGGTCTCTTGTGGAGGCTAAGCAGGAACAGACACATGTCCCCTAATCCTCTGGCAGATTTGCCCACCTACCTGCCGAGGAGTCTTCCAGCTGCACATAGCCTGGGGGCATCAGGTGGAGCAGAGTGTAGGTGATCAGCCCATTGAGGCCCTTGTCAGGGTCCACGGCTGCCACAGCAATGAGCGTGGTGCCTGGGGTGGCCCCCTCCAGGATCCGCTCTGTGTAATAGGTGATCCCGAAGGGCTTGAACTGGGGCGTATTGTCATTGACGTCCAGGATGTTGACCGTCAGCTTGGCTGGCATGGAGGCAGGAGGTAAGGGTGAGGTGAGGGGCAGCAGTGTGGCTGGGCCAGGCTTCCTAAGTCTCAGTCAAGGCCGGAGAGGGTGGGCCTTCCACTGCCCTGCTGGGACTCCTTGAAGCTCGACCCGACCCTGGTGTGGTGGCATGGGAGACCTTTCCTCTGGTCTGGTTGCTCACTCTTCCTTGGGGGAACTGGCTGGGTGACCTTGTGGGGCTGCTGGCCCTTACTGTGCCTCAGTTTCCCTGCATGTCCAATGAGGTAGAACTAGGATGGTCTTTAAGACCCTTGTCGCAGCTCAGCCTTCTGTGTCCTGAGTCGTCCCCTCTACATGACCTGCCTGGGCCCTTTATCCTGAGTGGAGGGCATGGAGGCCATGACCAGTGTGCTCTTCCTTCCTGACAACTTGGGCCTCTGGTCTCGAATGATAAATGGCCAATATATGCCAGGCCTATCTCCCCATCCCAGCATGCCTCATGGCGGGAGCGGAGGTGGCTTGAGGCCACCCCATGTCTACATCTCCCTCCCCTTCCCGCTCCGCCCACACAAAATCTCCTCCTTTAGGAGCCCCTCCCAGCTCAAGCCTCGGGCTGCGGGCCGGGGGGCGGCCTTGTGCCCCTCTCTGCTCTGGCGCCTGTGCCCTCCAAAGCGGTGTCGTGGCCTCCACAGATGTTCATGCTTCCTTGTACTTTCCTCTCTCCGGGCGGACCCCATGACTTCCTATCAGATCTGAGGTTCCTGCCACATATGCCAGCCACACCTCCTTACGAGTTCTGACAATGAGATTCTGGCCGAAGTTTCTGCTCTCCTGTCATTTTCTCAATGCCCGTCAGCCTCTCCCAAGCCTCCTTCCCACTCTGAGCCTTTGAGTTCAAGATCACACACAGCTCTGGGCTTCTGGATCCCCCACTGTTGCGCTCTAACAACGGGGACATAAGGCCACCCCGACCTCACTGTAGCTGCCACCTTTCGTGCTCTTTGAGTAGCCTGACGACTCGCAGCTCCTACAGTCGGGTCTTATCACTCCCACCCTGGGCCCAGGCCCGTGCCTGCTCCCAGCCTGCTGCCCCGGCCCTGATCGGCTCTGAGTGACCCAACGGAGATACCCAGGTGGAACCTTACCATTTGGCATGCTGACAGAGCGCTCTGGTAGGTCACTGGCATTGTCAATCACTGAGAGAGTGACCTCATAGGTGGCAACCAGCTCCCGGTTCAGCGGGGACTTCACCATTACAGACCCTGTAGACCAGACTAGGTTCAGTCTGAGAGGGGAGCCCCCTAAAATCTGGGCCTCCCAGGGGCTCTCCTGGCTAGCCTTCTCAAACACAGCAAGGGCAATGGTCCCCAGTAGAACTGGGACAGGCTGGTGAAACCTTTGGCTGGGATGAGACCACAGCCACCTGCAACCTGGGGGCACCTCACTCAGCCCCTCACTCACTGTCTACTTGCCAGGGGAACTTGGGAAAATTATTTAACATCTCTCTACCTCTGTTTCCTCATTTGTAAAATGAGGATAATTACGGTACCTACTGCATAGAGCTATTTTGAGGATTATGGCAGTAAAATGAGTTTCCATTTGCAAAGGGTTTAGAACAGTGCTTGGTATATACGTAGTGCCATGTAATCACTGGTTCCAAGAATGTTTATATTCTACAAGAACGTGAGTATATTGAACACTATTGAACTATACCCTTAAATATGGTTAATGTGGTACATTTTATGCTCCGTGCATTTTATCACAACTTAAAAATTGCTTGTATTCTAGGGAGACCAAGTATAAAAGAGGGTCAAGTCAGCTAAAAAGTCCTGAGGGTATTCCCTGCGGGGGACAGGCCAACCTCTTCGTCTTGATTAAGTGAGCACGACAGGGCCTAATTGTGGGAAAGGAAGACCATCCTGTGATAGTACTAGCAAGGAGTTGTTTTTTCCTTATTTCCTGCCCACTGCCTCCCACAGCCCCTGCCTGCCCCTGAGTCACAGAGGAATCTTCCAGAGGCTTGGGCTTGGACTGGACAGATGTAGCTGGGCCAGTCTCAAGGCTGGCTCTGTTGGAGGCCTGGTGGCCTGATCCTACGTGAAACTTTCACTCTCCAGCTCCCTCTCAGAAAGTGTGGCCTCTGGGATTCCCTTCCCCCTTGGCAGATCCCCTGCTGGGCTTCTGTCTTCCTCGGGTCCCCAGCCATGGGGCGGTCACTTACCCTGGGCCGCTGCCTCCTCCTCCTCCTCCTCTTCCTACTCTCGCTCCCCGTCCCCGAGGTTGGGGAGCGAGGATGGGGAGAGGGTGGCTGCATTCAGTCTGCAAAGGCTGGGCCACGGCCTTGGCCTGGGCCCCACAGGATGGGAAGGGTGGTAGGGGTGTGGTATGGAGGAAGGCAATGGGGTGAAGCAGAGATGAGGTGGGAAGTGACAGAGAAACAGAGCTCAAACCTGCAGGCCTGCCAGCCGTGAGGAAGAGAGAAGAGGGTTAACATCAGTTAGTTCAGGGTGCAGAGGGGATGGAGTAGAGCAGGGCATGGGGAACAGTAGGGTTCAGAGCAGACCAGGGCAGGAGGTTTGAGAGGGAAGGGAGTGGAAGGAAAGAGGCAGTGGGAAGGAAGCTAGGAGCAAGTGGGAGTCCCATTGGATAGGAGCACTCAGGGGACTAGGGCTCTGGCAAGAAGAAAAGGGAGGGAAGGTAAGCAGGTGAGGTAGGGGAGTCATGAGGAAGAGGGGCAGAGAAGACACTGGAAAGAAAAATAGAGAGAAGAGAGTCAGTCATAGGGAGGGAGAACAGAGAAAAGTGGTAGAGGCATCATAGAGCATAAGGTGGAGCAGGGTGCAGAGCAGCTTTCCATGGTCCTAACCAACTACTGTGGGGGGAGTTTTGCTAACCTGGATCACGGCTAACCTATCTAAACTCTCCTAGTGCTCATGGCTTTCCTGTCTTCTTTCTAACTCTGGGCCTCAGATGCATATTGAATGAATCATACTCTTTGGTTCACTGCACCCTGTGGTCATTGATACTGCTCTTGTTTTATGTATGTATCTATTCCACTTTATTCCCACACTCCTCCCATTTTCTCCCCTTGGTCAATCACTGTAATGGACTGAAGTATACTTTTCATTTGAAAGTGTTCCTGAAAATCATGTATTGTGTTTGTGTATTTTACATTTCCACAAATGGGATTGTATATATATCCTGATCTAAGGCCCATGCACATTTCTCTGTGAATCTGATCTACTGCTTCTGACTGCTGCATGGTATTCATGGTGTACACTCATCATGCTTTACTCTCCAGTCTCCTAGGGATAGATGCCCAGGTGGCCTCGAACTCCCACTGCCAATAACATGGCAGGAAACATGACATATAGTCCTGTTACTGACTGGAGAGTGTCCTTGGGACATACAGCCATGGAACCAAACTGTTGAATCATGGGATATGAGTGAACTTTGTGCTAGATTGCTGTCTAGATGGCGGAAGCAGTGTAGACTCCTATAGCAGTGGCGTGTGAGTTGTTCTGATGTCCCCAATACTCAATACTGTCTAGCATCCTAATACCTGCTAGTTACATATAGAAAACTGTTATCTCATTGCTGTTTTACTATGCATTTCTCTGAATAACAAAGATTTTTAGCGTTTTGTCATAGCCATTAGTTTTTCTGTCACTCTTCCTGGCCTTCCAAGAAGAGTAGCTGTAGGGGTCCCATGTCCCCTTCCTTACTCCCTGGAGTAGCAAAAACATGAAACTTTGGGAAAGATGGTAAGGCCATCAAAATTATAATAATCTGCATAGATCACGAAAGATAAACCACAGTTCTCTTTGTTTTGTGATAGTGTAAGAAAATCATCAAGGCTATGTATAAAATTTACAGTGGCCTAAATGACCAGCATACATAGGAAGAAAGTGTTCAACCGCCTGTTTATAAGAGAGATACACATTAAAACAAGGTACGATTTCCAATACGATTACAAATGTGAAAGCTTTACAGTAGTTAGTACTGGCAAGAGGGTGGTGAGATGGGAGTTCTCATGGAACACTGGTAGAGTGAGGGAATCTGGAAGGGCAGATGCAGCTGGTCCGAGGAGAGAGGAGAGGGAAGGAGGCAGGGAAGGGAGGAAAAAGAGAGGGAGCGATGTGGTGTTGGGGTCGGGGAAGAGAGTAGGAGAAGCAGCTGAGGGAAAGGGAGCAACAGAGAGAGAACAGAAAGAAGGGAGCATTGGGAAGAAAGCAGAGGGCAAGGAGACGGGCAGGGAGCCAGGGGTGGGGCGGGAGGGGGGCAGGCCCTTGTACCCGTGTTGATGTTCACAGCAAAGGCATCCTCCTGGTCGGGCACCAGGCGGTCAGTGTCGTCTTTGGCCACGATGTCGATGATGTGGTACTCCAGCTTTGGGTTGAGGTCGCGGTCAATGGCGGTGATGTTGGCAATGACCGTGCCTGGCTCAGCCGACTCCAGCACGCTCACCGTCTGGATGGGGTTGAGGAACTCGGGGCGGGAGTCATTGATATCGTCGATGAGGATAGTGATGATGGCCGTGCCTGAGAGAGGAACGGTGCCCCTGTCGGCGGCCACCACCGTCAGCCGGTAGGATTCCTGCTCCTCCCTGTCGATGGTGGCATTGGCGACACGGATGACCCCCGTGACTGGGTGGATGATGAAGCGGTCCTGAGCCCCAGCTTCTATCCGGTAGATCAGTTCTCCATTGAGGCCACTGTCCCTGTCCGTGGCTGTGGCCTGAAGGACTGAGAATCCTGTGGGGGTGGATATAGGGAGTGACTGAGCCCAGTGGCTTCTTCCAAAAACCTCATACTGGATACATTTGTTGGTGGTTTCTAAGGGTCCCTTCTTGCCACGGTCTTGCCAGTGTTGAAACTTTGTAGGTAAATAGCATCTCATTTTATTTCATAGTCTCTGATTGAGAGATTGAAAAATTTGTAGTAATTTAACAATTGATTGTACCTTCTGTAAACTGTCTGCCTTTGACCTCTGTCCACTTATCTGTCAATTTATATGGATTACATAGTTATGGTGACTGGTGACAGATACCTTTTCCTTAGTTTGTCGTCTGCCTTTCAGTATTGGTTGTTAACGTTTGGTGCAAAGAAATTTAATTTGGCATGTGTCAAAATATAGTATTTTTCCTTTTTTAAGATTTGTTTCTCACATGCTTAGAACCTCTTTTTCAGAAATCAGAAAACTAATTACCTAAAGTTTTCCTTTTTACTTGTAAATGTTTTCTACTCTTTTGTATTCTCTCTAGAATGTTTTTAGGTTTCATCTTGGTGTCTGATATAGGGTGAGAATCTACATTAAATATTAATAGATATTTTGCACATTAAGTAGTTTTCACAAGTAAACTCTACACCCAATGTGGGGCTCGAACTCACAGCCCTGAGATCAAGACTGGACCAGTCTGGCGCCTTTCACTGTGTCCTTTATCACTTAATATTACCTTCTTTACTTGACCAGTATCTGTTTCTGGGTTACTCTGTTCCAGAATCTTGTACTTGTATCATGTGGTTTTAAAAAAAATTTTTTTTAAAGTTTATTTATTTTGAGAGAGAGAGTGTGAACAGGGAAGGGGTAGAGAGAGGGAGAGACAGAGAGATTCCCAAGCAGGTTCTGCACTGTCAGCATGGAGCCTGATGCAAGGCTTGAACCCACGAACTGTGAGATGCCCTGAGTGAAAATCAAGAGTCTGACACTTAACCGACTGAGCCACCCAGGCGCTCCTCATATCATGTGGTTTTAAATACTGCAGCTTTGTAATACGTTGTAATATCTGGTAAGGCAAATCCATCTTATTTGTACTTCTATCTCAAAATGTTCTTATTCTTCCAGATAACCTTTAGAATCAAATATGCCCCCTGAACCATATTTGATTTTGATGGCAATCACATTAATCTTATTTTGACTTTAAAACAGTCAGTTTTGGGGGTGCCTGGGTGGCTCAATTGGTTAAATGTCCAACTTCAGCTCAGATCATGATCTCAGTTTGTGAGTTCGAGCCCCGTGTTGGGCTCTGTGCTGACAGCTCAGAGCCTGAAACCTGCTTCAGATTCTGTGTCTCCCTCCCTCTCTGCCTCTCCCCTGCGCACCCTCTCTCTCCCCAAAATAAATAAATAAATGTAAAAAAAAATTAAAACCGTTTTTCCATCCAGGAACACAGATGGAACATATCTTAATAATCTCATTTTACAGCTAAACACCATGGATCAGAGCAGAGAAGTGTGGGTGTCTTGGTTTTTCTGACTCCCTCTCCAGGGTTCTCTCCACAACCTCGCCCCCCCGCCCCCCTTCCCACTGTAGGTGAACTCTGCCTCCAGCCTGCGGGGCTCCAATCTCCAAGCACCACCAAGCAGCTCCTGCCTGGGGCCGGTCCCCTGCTTACCTGCAGGGCAGTTCTCCAGCAGGTGGACTGTGAGGGTGGGAGGGCTAAAGGTGGGCCAGTTGTCATTGTCATCCAGTATGGAGACCAGCAGGTCGGCTGTGCCGTTGAGCAGCCCGATGTCCTCAGCCAGCAGCAGCAGCTCCAAAACCGGGGGTGAGAAGGCTTCCCGGTCAATGACGACACCTGACCTCACCATCACCACGCCTGGTGCCCGACACCACCAGCCGGGGAGACATAAAGGAACAGGGGGACAGTGGGGAGATAGAGCAAGAGCCAACCGGGAGGGCACAGAGAAAGACAGGGGCATGATAGTGGAAAGAGAGGAAAGAGAGGCAGAGAAGGCACCACAATGACTTTCTTCCCCAAAGGCTCAACAACCAGTGTTTCGGGAAGGCCCCCGGCCAGCCTCCTGGTGGTCCTCCCCCAGGTGCCCTCTGTGCCTCTTCAAGGTCTCGCCTAGGATGAGGGCGCCAGGGAGGAGTGCTGACCTGCTCTGTTGAGACAGGTGCTGGTATATCCCTCCCTGGTCCCCTGTCAGCAAGTGGGCCTCCCATCCGGACCAGACTGACCAGACACAGTCTCTGGGGCACTTTGGGTCTGGTTTGAGGACAGACCTTTGGCTGTTTCCGGTTGACGAGGGGCCTGGGCAAATGGGGAGAAGTGGGATCTGGGGCTCTTTGTCTAGGCTGAGAGCTTATGTCCCAGCAGGCCCCCTGGGTGGTCTCCAAGCCTCCTGCTGGGTCCTCCTGTCTGGCCGCAGGTGGCTTAGTCCAGCGGCAAAATGGAGGCTGTGCGGAATGGGGTCTCCATGGAGAGGCTGGATGGCACGGAGAAGGGAAGCCCTAGGTCTAGCAGCGGCTCACTCCCACCCCAGCAGGAGGGCGGGGAGCCAGGCTCAGGTGCTGGGCTGGCACAGGGGCCTCACCGGTACTGTTGTCGATGTCAAAGAGGGCGCTCTGGGAGCCCAGCAGCCGGTAGGTCACCACAGCATAGATGTCCAGGTCCGCGTCCAGGGCCAGGATGGGCCCGTTGAGCACCGTGAGGGGGGTCCCTGGGCCAGGAGGAGAGGGGTCACTGCAGGGCCGATCTGGCCCCCGCCCTGCCCCTCCCCCACCCGTGCCCCGGTGAGCCATGGCTGACGATGGATGAGAGGGAGGGCGGTGAGGTGGACGGGGTGGGGAGCCCTGGGCCGGGCTGCGGCAGCCTTGGCAGACTGACGCAGATGCCTGGGGAGCAGCCTCAAAGCCCTGCTGGGGAGAAAACACAACAGCGGTGAGCAAGCCCCTCCGGCCCGCCTGGAGCACACCTGCCTTCCCAGCAGCCTTTGAGAGTCGCTCCATGGGAGGGTCGGGGGCTCCCCGAGGGTGTGGGCCCTGTCTAGCTATGCGCTTCCAGCCCGGTCTGTCCATATGTGTGTACAAGAGGCTCCTTGCAGGCACCTGGTTGTGCCTGGCTAGGAACGTGGGACATGTGTGTGCTGGACTTCACGTTCATGGTCGTGAGCACACACACAGGAGCACTGGCAGGCCTGGGTCCCCCTGGTTGCACACCTGTCTGCCTCTCAAGTGGGCACATTTTGCACTGTGTAGGCCCCTACCCGTATACCTAGGCATGTCCGTGCATATGAGCAAGCCTACGCGTGTGCCCGGACGTGGCCAGGTTCTGGCACACCCGTGTGAGTGCATACACCGGCAAGATTAAGAAACAGAGCGGGAAGGCCTAGCTAGAGACAAGGAACATCTTTGCTTACCTCTTTCTCTGATTTAAAATCTAAGCTTTAAGGGCTGGGGAGGCTGGAGGAGGAGTAAGGCCCCCCGCTCTCCCCGGGGAACACAGTAAAAAGGAGGTTCTGTTTCTCTGAAGGGAGGCGAGGCTGGTCAGTGTACTGTGTGGGGACAGGGCCAGGCCAGCCTAGCCAGGGGCCGGTGTTCCCCCTCCTCTGATTACAGGTGCTCCCCGAGCTTCTGGAAGCCTCTAAGATGCCCTGTGCTCCTGCGTGAGGGAGCGGGGAGGGTTGAGCTAACCCCCCTCCTTCACACCTTAATTGCCCCTCTGGGGGCTGTAATGGGGCTGCTTTCAGACCACTTTGGGGGCCAATGGCCATGGGTGTCTTTTCCAAGCAGACCTATGGCCTCTTTGATTGGTCTCCAAAAGGTGTGGCAATCCGGGGCCCACCAGCCCCTCAGGGCTGTGCCCCTTCCTCCCTCCATACACTCGTGCCCCTGCTGGGTCTGTGTTCAGCCAGGCGGTGGGGCTGCCTCCCCGGCCAGGCTTCAGCTGGGCCCCTATCGAGGGAGGTCCGCAGGCATCTGGGAGCTGGGTGGTGCCTGGCAGCAGGAGTTCCCGGGTGGGTCTGGCACCTACCAGCGGGAGAGTTCTCCATCACCTCTGCCTGGTAGGAGCTCTCAGTAAAGAGGGGATGGTTGTCATTCTCGTCTGCCAGAAAGATCAGCAGCAAGTCAAAATCCTGAGGGAGGCACAAGGGGAGGTTAGGTTGTAGGCCACGTTCTAGCAAAATGCTCCAGCTGGAGGAGGGCCGAGAGGTGGGGAGTCAGGGCACAGAGGTAGATGATTAAAAAGGTCCAGGGACCTGAGTTCAAGCCCTTGATGTGCTGGCAGCTCTCTTGGTGCCCCTGGGCAAATCATTTCCCCTATCTGGGCCTCAGTTTTCCAATTTGGCAAATGGGAACCCTAACTCCTTCAGAGAGGTATTGTGAAGGGAACAGGATGGATGCAAATGGCATTTAATCCTGCTTTACCTGCTGGTAAAGAAGGACTTTAGGCAGGAAGAGGAGCACCTTGGCAGAGCCAAGCAGCCACTCAGAAGCAGAGTTGACATGAGCCAGACCCAAGGACTCTTGGCCAGGGCTCTGCCCCAACCTCATGGGCTGGGAATAGAGGGCAGACTCCTACCCCCAAATGGACAGCCTTGCAGCACCCACCTTCTCTCAGCAAAGAGGTCCAACTTTCTTGGCTTTTGAGGGAAGGCCACTTGGAAAATGCAACCCTTTCAGAACCCCAGAGTATGAGTTTATGAGTGCGGGCCTGTATGCACACACAACGGTGGTGTGTACTCAAGTGTGTCAGTGGTTTGGGGAAAAGAGATGAGAGCTGGTGTTGAGTGTCGGCCACGTGCCAGGCACAGTGCTGAGGACTGTATAGATACTGGCTCCTTCTGGTCCTTTCCGCAACTCTGGGGTAGGGATGGTCTTCATTTTGCAGAAGAGAAGGGAAAAGGGGTAGGGGAGAAACCTACTTGCCAAAGCCACACACTCAACAGGGTAGGCAGAACAGGGACTTGAACCTGACACTCGCTTCCTCTAAAGCCTATGCATTGAATCCGCAGGCATATTGCCCGTCGCCTCCGGCGTGCAGCCTCCAGCTCCCCCCGCATCCTCCAGCTCACCCTCCTGGCTATGCGTGGGTTCTCCGGGTTGTCCTTCACGGAAATGGTCAGCTTGTACTCTGGGATCCGCTCGCGGTCCAGTGGCCGGTTCACAGTGATGACCCCTGTCTGGGATGTGGAGGGCTGGTGAGCTGAGCAGCAACCCGTCCCCCACTTTGGGTCTGGTCCACACATGCCCAACTGCTTCACCTGTAGCTCCAGGAGTAGCTGGGAATTCTCTCCCTAAATTGCCAGAGATATGGTCTAGAAGGCCATCACGGGCTGGGAGGGTCTTACTAGAGCAAAAGTGTGATCTACCATTGCCCAGGTCTTGCTGTCTCAAAGGGGTGGGCCCCCTGAGGGTCCTGTAGTTCTAGAAGCTGGTAATACTCCAGAGGACAATGAGGACTTGCTGGTGCATCTTGGTAATAAACCAATTGGAACTAAGGCTTTGGCTCCATCACTGCACATGACAAGCCTTGGGGATGACAGGGACCCCAGAGATGGCTTAGCTGGAAATCCAAGACTCCATGCTACCCAGAGACTCCCACGTCCCAGCAGAGGGTGGAAGCTTGGGGAGGAGACTGAACCAGAAGGAGCCCAGACAGTGGAGCAGAAAAGCCTCTGGGGCAGGGTCCTCTTTTTCAGGAGGAAGCCCGGGGGCCTCCCTACCGTGGCATTGATGGAGAAGGCCCGCTCTCGGTTGCCTGCAGTGATGTTGAAGGTGAGGAGTGCGTTGCATCCGCTGTCAGCGTCGCTGGCCAGGATGTGGGCGACAAAGCTGGAGACGGGGCTATTCTCACTGATGGTGATGTTCATGGGCAGATTCAGCAGCACGGGGTCATTGTCATTAATGTCCAGCACCCGGATCCCCACCAGCATCTGGGGGATGTTGGGGAAGAGGAGGAAGTGGTGCGGGATGAGGAGAAAAGGGGGCGTGGGGGAGAGGGAGAAGAGAGAAGAGAGAGGGAAGAAAGGTCATGGGAGACGGAGGAGGAGGAAGGGATGGGTGAGACGGGGCGGGAGAGTAAGGGCGATGGTAATTGACAAAGGAAAGGTATAGGTGGTCATGGAGAGAAAGAAGAAGAGGAAGAAAATGGCAATAAAAAAGACGAGAGGATGAAAGTGAGGATAAGAAGAAAGCAGAACAGGTGAAGAGGCAGACATGGGGCAGAGAGGCCAGAGCGACAGGTGCAGAGGCCTGGCTGTCTGGGTGGGCAGAGCTGTGGCTACCGGGCCCCAGTGAGCCCCACGAGGCACTGGCAAATCTGGTGGGGGCCCTGAGGGTATGGACTGGCTCCAGGTCAGCCTGTGGCCTCTCTGGGTGTAGGGTGGGCATTTACAGAAATCTCTACAGTGAAGGGGTCAGTGAGGGGAAGCCAATGGAATGGGGCCCCAAGACTCACCGTCGAGCTCAGTGGAGGCACACCTCTGTCGCGGGCACAGATCGTCAGGTTGTAAAAGGCAATGGTCTCCCGATCCAGCTCCACATCCTTCCAGACACGCAGCACCCCCTCCACAGGAGAGATCACAAACTCCCCTGGGTGTTGCCCAAGGGAGGCTGGGGTTAGCTGGGAATGGCCAAGAGCTGTGGAAAGCCCAGGCCGCTCCCTGCTTCCTCTAGTGAGCCTTCCTCACCGGGGCTGGGGGCTGGGTCCTCCTGTGCCCCCTGCTTCAGGTCCACAGGGAACCTCACATGGGCTGGCCAGTGCGGGAGCGAGGGAGACAGAGAACTGCTAGAGGTGCGGGGTGCTCATGGGCCCACTTACAGCCCAATGTGCTTATAGCCCAACGCCAGGCTGGTTTCCTTCCCTGGGCCACATGCAGGATAGGGACTGACCCCGAGTAAGAGGGCTGTGTTGAAAAAGTGGGGCCCCTTTCCACACAAGCACCCTCTAACCACCACTGATCCAAATCACTATTGATCAGAAACGGATTAGCAAGAGTCTTGGGTACTTTGTAATGTGCAATTACTTCCAGATACCACGTCTTGGAAAACAGGATACTGGGGATGGAAGGAACGCCTTGCTAGGGGTGAGGCACCAAGACAGGACAGAGTGGGAGTGACTGAAGGCAGGGCAGCCCCCCACTGCTCTCCATACAGCTCTGGTATTGAGCCACAGGGTTCTGCCAGGTCTGGGGCCACCCCTTGGCCTCTAGTCAGATCTGACTTCTTTTCTCTGATGTTCTGGAAAACACTCAGCTGGCCCTTTGGCTTCAGTCTTGATTTTGGCTTGGCTACAGGGGCCAGATATCTGAGAGGGTCTAGAGTGGGAAACTCAGATCCTCAGGCTGATCTGGAAGGGACCTCAGAGACCATCGAGCATCCTTTGGAAAATGAATGGGGGAGTCCGGAGATGGGTGATGACTTGTCTAAGCTCCCATAGCAGTTCATGCCAGAACCAGTATTCAAATCCAGGGCTCGGGGTCTCAGCCTACTGGATCCACGGGATGGTGGTCATTCCAGACACCCCCATCAGAGCGGATCAGGGTGGGAGGTTTGGGAGGGAGGGGTGAGGACAGAGAGAGGGTGGAGGGAAAGGGCAGAGGGGAGCAGGTGGGAACCCAGGGCAGGGAAGGCGATGGAGAGGACGGGCAGGGGCGAGTGCGAGGAAGGGGGGCTGCCTCTGTGCACTCCCCCAGGAACTGAGGACAGAGAGAAAGTTACTTCCTTCACTTTTGCTTTGACACCTGGGAGAAACAGCCCAGGGCAGGGCACAGCAGCGATGGTGGCCCAAGATCCCAACCATTCCCTCTGCCTGCCCTTCTCCAAACTCACCAGCCCTGCCTCCCCGACTACAGTAATAGCCCTTGGTGGCCCACCTGTGGCCTCACAGGCTGCACCCCCCTGGTGTGGTGGAAACTGCTTGGAGCAGGATTTCCTGAGGCAGATTCTCACGAGAACTGGGGATTCCCTTTCTAGGGGGTTCCCAGCCCTGTCTCGGCCCCTGACCATGTGCAAACAGATGGCCTCCTGCCCACTCTCCAAAGCCAGCCACCCTCTTGAAGGAAGGAAAGGGATCCTGAGAACTGGGGGAGGGGCAGGCCTAAGGCTCTGGGGGACGGGGCCTAGGCTAGACACCCATGAGATTAACTCAAGGAATGAAGATTGGGGAGGTGGGCAGGCCGAGGGCCCCCACACTGCTAATTATCCTCAGTGGCTTGCCCCCAGGAACTTCCTGCCATTCTACTCTTTTTGGAGCTAGGGGTTAAAAGCAGAGGCTTTCCATCTGCATCCTGACTTCACTACTTTGTGCCCTTGGGTGTGCTTCCTGGGTCCTTCCTCGACGTCCTCATATGGAAAATGGGCCACTAAAGAGGTGCCACTGCAGGGTTGAGCTGGGGCACCTCATTTGTGCTGGATCCGTGGTAGGTGTTGGTATCATTAAGGGGACGCTGGAAGGAAGCCCAGGCAGTCCTCTGCAGGAAGTGGGGGCTTTCAGGGAGGAGGAGGATGGATGAAGGGTCTGAGGAGTGGGCTTGCCCGGAAGGGGCCCAGCTGCAGGTCCCGAGAAGGCCAAGGTTGGAGCGCAGGGCTCAAGTGGATACGGCCTGCATCACAACAGTTCCTTGGCCATGTAGCTCCCCTGCAGAGCCTGGTGGGGCTTGTAAGATCTCTGTTGCCCCTGATGTCTCCTCCCCTACGGAGCCCCCCATCCCCCCTCTGGCCTCAGGCCACAGTGCTGGGGGCTGGGTGGCCTGGAGCATGAGCCTTCACCTACAGGGTGTCGCTAACCTGCCTCTCCACAGAGAACAGGCCTGATTTGTAGCATGTCAGGTTTTCAAGTTACCAGCATGGCGTCACCGAACCTGGAGGCAGGGGGAGCTGCGGGGAGTGGATGCTGTGCCTGCGGGAGCTGCCCCGCACAGCACCAGGTTGCCCCTCCCTCCCCCACCTCCAGCCTTCACTTGTCTATCCAGAAATGGGGTCGTGCTCTGTGATCCTGAAGTTATCTTTGGGCTCTGAGTATCTATCTTCCCTCCTGGGGGTGGGGGGTGGGGAGGGGACCCCAAGCTTCTCTTACTCCCCTGGGGGGAGGGGTGCCTCTTGGTCTCCTGGGACTCTCAAGAAGTAGCAGCCCCTCCTTGTCTCCCACCTGACCCTAAATTCCTATGGCTGACCGTGATCGTGTGAGAATTTAGCCAGGTTTTGCTCATGACTCCAAAGACCCACGGCCTGCAGTTTGCTGGGATCCAGGTAAGAGCCCTGTACCCCAAAGCTAGGTACAGTGGGGGCCTCTTCCCGGGAGAGGGCCCAGCTATCTGCACAGCACCACCTCTCAGCGAAGCTTTGGCAGCCTCCCAAACAGGTGCAGGGCCTTCTGTGCAAGCAGAAAACCTCCGTGTCTGTGAAAACACGGCCCTTGCTCTGCTGGTTTCAGGAGAGGAAGGCACAGTGCTCGGCTGGAGAAGGGACTTTTGGGACATGAAAGGGTGGCACGTTGGAACGGAGTGACCTCCCGCGGGCTTGGGGTGGCAGGGGCTCCGAGTCTCGCCCTACGGGAGTGGAGTTTAGCCTCCGGACTGCAAATATGTCCCATGGTCGGTGTTCTATCCTTGGCCCTCTCCTCTGGCTACTCCGCCAGCGCTTGCCTCTAGTTCTGTGGTTTTCCACAGCCCTACGCTGATGCTCTCCCTCCAGCGCAGACCTGGCCCCGGAGCCCCATTCTTGTGCGTCCAGCCCCCATCCAACATCTCCAACCTGACCCCACCTCTTCCTCCACACCTGCTCTTGCTGCCGTCTTCCCACCTGCTGAGGACCATGCCCTCCGGCTGCTCAGACCGAAACCCTGATGTCATCTTAGATTTCCTCCACATCTAATCGGTCAGCACACCCTGTTTGTTCCACCTTCCAGATATACCGGAGCTGTCTCCCCACCATTACCCCCGGTGCTACCACCCCGGGCCCGGCTAACAGGCTCCCACAGTCCCCCTTCTCCCACTCTTTAACCTCAACGGTCTGTTGTGAGCACAGGAACTAGAGTGGTCTTATTAAAATCGTGTCCCTCCTATGCTCTAAGCCCTCCTATGGTCCCCATATCATCGGAGCAAAAGTCAGGTCCTCCTCATGGTCAGCGAGGCCCAGAAACATCTGGCGCTACCACCTCTCTGACCTCATCTCCCACTACTCTTCTTCATGCTCGACTTCAAGCCAGCCACAGGGCCTTTCAGTTCCTCTGCGAACACGCCAGGCATGCTCCGGCCTCAGGGCCTTTGCACTCACTGTTCCTTCTGCCTGGCATGGCCTTTCCCCAGATGTCCACATGACCCTCTCCTCCTTCCTTCAGATCTTTGCTCCCATGTCATTTTCTTGGACAGGTCCTCCCTGAGCACCCTATCTAAACTTGCACCAGTCACTTGACATTCCCCATCTCCTGGCTTTATGTTTCTCACACTTACCAACTCCCAATATACTAAGTTAGCTACTGAATCAGTGATGTTCATTGCCTGTGTTCATGATGTTCATTGCCTTCTAGATCCCTAGAAGGGCAGGGATCTGGGTCTGTTTTGTACCGTTCTGTATCCTCAGCATCTGGCATATGATTGGCATATGGTAGGTGCTCAATAAATATTTGTAGGACGATCAATTAAAAATCAAGATATTGGATTTCTAGCTTTTTGTTTTGAAAATGGGAAGATCTGGCCTCTCTGGGCCTGCATTTTGACACGGCCACACTGGCAGGAGTGGAGTTGTGGGCTGTTACAGCCCCCACTACTCCCTCCTGTCTTGCCTAGACCCCTTTTCCCCTGTATGTCCTCTGTCTGACACCCCCAGGCCTTTGAATTTGGAATTCCTACTCTAT